AAAATTTCAACTCCTTGCTAAACAAGAAAACATCGTTTTATCGTGAATTTATCTATTCGTGATTTTACAGAGAATTTAAAAATTATAATCGCAAAGAGAGGCAGCGAAGTAGTCGTACTCTTTAGCAAGTGTACGACGAAGTCGTACGTGGTAACGTATTCACGCATTGAGGAAAGGCTCGTAATTGACGCGATTGATTTGCACAGTCGGAACAATTCAAAACTGGAGCGTCCTGAGAGCCTCGCGAGGAGGAAAAACAACTCGGTGTGCGTCGCGCGCTGCGCACGCCCCGGCCGCCTCGAGTAGTAGCGGCCCAGTAGTCGGACGGCTGTCAGTCAGCCGTAGACCCGCGGCCGTGGCGGACGTGCCACGGGTGTGTTTCCCTGCCGCACGTTGGAGAACGCACGTGACTGCCCGCGAGGGAGACGGAGGAGAGTTTTACGCGCGCTGCGCTTGGCGAACGACGCTATGGTGAGTGGCCTCCCCTTGCTCCGATATCTTCGACCGCGAATGTCCGAGAGAATCTTCCGAAAGACGCGACCTCGGGGGAGGAAAAGAAAGCGAGAAATGCGCGCGGATATATTTAGTACGAGACGCGACCGCGTTCTTTCGACGAGTGACAGGTCACGCCGCTGGGCATATTTCAAGTCGGCCTTTGTGTGTTTTCTCACGTAATTGCATGTTGCGCGCATTCTCTTGCGACAAGAATCGCCTTTGTCCTTTGTCGATGGCGAAAATAAAGCTAGTACAGTCGCCTGCAGCTTTTACCAAATAAAACTCGAATAACGTGCGTTTGGTAACGTGCGAGCGACGGAGAAACCAGAAACAAAGTCCAGCGACGCACACGCGAGATAAAAACGTGACGGGACAATAGGTAACTACCCTAGTAGCACAGTGCAGTGGCTAAACACTGGCCCAATACAATCAAACATTGACCCAAGTCAATGTTTAGCCAATGCACTGTGCTACTGGGGTAAGGCCTAAGCTATACAATGTATTTTTCGCAACGAGAAACGTTCTATATTTTATACAGGCATATCGATGTGCTTGAAAAATCTGTCGGCAATGCACGATCATAACGTATAAGCTGGAATTCCCGTTCTACAACTTGCCATCGTGTAACCAGAACCGAATAGTCGATTGATTCCATGAAATGTTTAACGTTATAAAATAATGAACCGAGTTACCGTACGAGAAAAAAACAAGAAACGTGCAGCTCGCTTAATTACAACGCATCTTGTGACAAACGTTTAACGATAACGTGTAATTGCGCGCCTCGAGTGAAATATTTCGTCGGTTTCTACTCGATCGGCCCGTCGACCAGCCAAGCGTGCACGGTGCTTCCCTTATGCACGACTAGGCACATTATTCGAACGTATTGCCGGGCTGCTACGTAGGAACAGATAAGGAGGACATCGGGAACGGGGACGGGCGCGCAGGGGTTGCGTTCGCAACGTGGATAAGTCGGATAAAAAGCGATCGAGCCGCGGCGATCTCTGTGCCGGCGACGGCGCGTGCATTTGCGCATCCTACGGGAATACATGTCGGGTCTTTCTTGCGAGTCGGCGGGCCGAAAATTCGCAATTTCGGCGAACCGCCGGAAAGTACCGGGGAAAATTATTCAAGTGACGTTCACTTGTAATCGCTATTAAATTAAGGTAAGCGGATAGAAGGGGAGAGAATATTGCGCGGTGACTCCTCGGAGTCGCGCGGGTCGCGCCAGACTCCGGGGGTGGTTGAGAAATTTTGTCGAGCGCGTCGAAATTGTGGTTGAACTCACTCTCTCCCGTTTTGTTTCATTGTTTTTCTCTCGCTCACGCACTTTTGACCGGGTTCTCACTTCAACTGACACTGGTGTGTGAACCGTCCCGTGCAATACACATAGAACGGATTTTTCATTTTAAGGCGAGAGGATTCTTGTGCAAAAATTCACATAAAATAAACCTTTCATTGCCACAAGCAACATCCAAGCAAGCGGTTACAACAGAAAATACCTTCGCGTATTAACGGCAGGGCGCGTCATAAATGTCGAATGTAAAATTTACACAGAAAATAACTGATCGATGCACGAGAATGTTGAAATAATGACGAATTTAATGAGTGTTAACGGAACAGCTCAAATCGATACCGCGGTAATTTAATGACTGTTCAACCGTTTTGTTCTGACAGCCGCTAATGAAATGAATTGTTCAACGAGCAACGCGCGTTCTCTCTTTCTACACTGGAATTACTATTATATATTTCAATTCGCCGAGGGTTTATACGTCGGCTCGGCCACTCAACGACGCGGAACATTTCGATCAGCCGAAATAGCACCGATGACGGCATTTATCGGCCGCGACTATTTCAAGTGGAAAATCAACGCTTCATATCCGGAAGCGCTTACCGAACAGCTGGACACTCTAAATTTTTTATGGACTTTTACACGCTCAATGACGGTGTGATGCAGATTGACGGAAAAAAAACCGTCAGCTTTTATCACCGTTCGCAGTAAGAGCAGTTTTTTTTACACTCTTGCGCGTGAAAAGCGAACAACAGCTGGGCGAGACAGGCATTCATAAAGGTATTTCGTTAATGTGCATTTATATTGTCCCTTTGAGGCACGCATGAAAATACCGGAATACCGAAAGTACCAAAGAGCCGATGGATACGATTTTATTGAAAATCGGTTCAAAATTTGGTGGAATCAATCGACTGCTCAATTTTAATTACACGGTGATAAATTAGAGAGTGGGAATTACCAGTGTACACGAGATAAATGAAAGTTAGATCTCCCCGGCGTTACTTTACAGGGAACAATTTGTGCACCCACAGAAAAAATTCCCGGATCCAATGCTGTTGCACTTTAATTTATCATAAAATAGGATCGATATAGCGCCAGTCATATTTATTATAGAGACAGGAATATTTTAATCTTAAATGAAAAATTCTAAACTCTAGAATAAAATGATAGTATGTATCGTCTTTTGGAGAATATCGCGGTGCCAACTTCGTGCGTTGTAAGATGGAGGGAAAATTGACTCTAAACGCAAGAATATATAAACTTACATTTATATAAGTTACTCTTGTATCTCAATATAGTAAGTAAACTTTTTTAAGTCGATAGAGAAGAATAAGAATTATTGATTTTATTTTGAGAAATATAAATGCGTCAAGAATATTTGTTGTCTCGGTAACAGAAATCCTTTCCGAGAGTGTATAATAACAGTTGCTAATTCTTTGCTGCACCAAAAGAATCTTTGAAGGGCCGGTCCGAGGCGTACGATTTCGCGAAGCATGACGTATAACGGTCGCATATTGCAGGAAAGAATATCCCGGAGTCGAGCAGTAACGTCAGGAACGCAATTTCCTTCGGAAAGCATTCGGTAAAGTAGGACGTGTTTTACAGCGATATAAAATCCTCCGGATCGCGATTTTCCGTGCAAGATACATTTAGGTAAATAAAAGAAAGTATGAGACGGAGGAGTAGTACGAAGAAGAGCAAGAAGTGTCCCGGCGACGACGCAACGTGTGTCGGTTACCTCGGTGGAAATTACTACGGATCGCGGTGCCCGGCGCCAAATATCAAGTCGTCTATTTGACGAAGATATGAATACGTCTCCCTGCCTCCCCCAAGCGCGGCTTTGATCGTCGTAATATCGGCGATGAGGTCCTCGCCTACGTTCACCGTTCCTCGTTTTTCTTCCAAAGTACTAGACCGACATATTGACGTCGCCGGCTGGTAATCTGCCGTTCGGAGTTACACTTCCCTTGACGCGAGTCTCTTCAAGTCCCGCGAACCCTTCATCCCGTAATCCCTCGTACGACTTTGCCGTTTATTCCGGTAACCTCATTTAGTTCGAAGCTCGATCCCGATGCCGAATATTAACATTTTGTAAAAAGTCTTGACGAGAACCTGCCCTTCATACGCGTATAAATGACAATACAAAAAGCACACGCGAGCCACGACGAGTGACTCTTTAGCTGTGCGTACGACCATTTGATTAACCGTATTAATTATCTAGAAACGCTTTTCATCGTGTTAGAAATGCAACGTGATTACGGTGTTATTGTTCAAATTGATTGTTCGCCTGTTAACTGACGCGAAACAACAACTTCACAAATTGACAATGGGAAATATTAATGTATTATTAACTTAAAATTCTACTTGCCTCAGCTGCGAAATTCTATGACACGCTATTCACAAATAAAAGGCTTAGCAGCTTAGCCAAATGGAATTAATAATCGCGCATGTTCGTCAATACAGCAAATAAATGCAGTTTAAATATATAATTATTATTCTGTTTAATTAGGTTTAATTAGATCTCGAATCGTTGATAATATAGCTCTCTTAAATGCATTTCGTAAATAAATGAAAAGCGATATTTACTGTGTCAATAAATCTTATACAATTATCCAAATTTGTTGGTAGACGCAATTATTCGTATGTAATAATTATCAGAACATTGTTAAAGTATAATAATAATTATTATTAACTGTATAAGCAATTTCATTATTCTATATTTATTCGGAGAATTCTGCATTATATCTTAAATAAATTCGTAACTCTGTAGATTTCTACCTTTGAGGATTTGTCGTCTCCACTGCTAATATTTTTTATATTTACAAGTGACGCAACGAGACGCAATCACTTTGTATCACTGTGTAATTTTGTTTCAATCTGAACCTGGTCGTTCGAGTCCCCTGCGAACAAATTGTGTACACACAACAATATAATTTCGGCAGTGCAAGCGCGGACTGCGGGGAAACCGTAGCCGCGATCGGGGTCTCTCGGTAGATATTGTTTGAGTTCCTGTTGGTGTTCCGCGGCCGAAGGAACGAACATGGCAGAACGCCAAGCGGAGTGAAATGCCATGCCCTATATACACCGGCGCGGCGCAATATATTTAGGCGCTTGGGATTTATGGTTAACCAGCTTATTAGAGGCTGGTGATGTTCGTGGATCAACGTGTCGCACGGGGTGCCGCGTTTTCCGTCCCGCATATCGATACGATCGCGTGGACCACACGTTATCGCGGACGCGGCGTAAGATTCGACAGCACCAATTTTGTCCATTAAATCGCAATGACCGCGGAACTTTGCGCAATTTACACGTTTCAATCATTTCAACCCGTGACGCGATGAATAATTGGCTATAATTTACCGTTTTCGTCTCCATTGGAAAATATTAATATTCTTTAATCGTTAATGAGAGTGCACGTGTATTTATTTATAATTAACGGTTTAAATGATACATGCCAGCTTTCTACTTCATATCTCGCTACAACTATTTAACGATGTTGAGGTCGGAGATAAAAATATGCTGTATTATTTTATTTTTACATTATTTCGTACTTCTGTTGCTAATTGCATAAATATTTCTCGAAACTATTAGAAAATTGTAAGTTCATTACACTATTTTATTATAGCTTGCATTATTTATATAATTAATATAATATATTTTAATTCGATAGTGATTTGATTTAATGTGATTTTCACTTAAACATAAATATTTTAATATAAATGTCTCAACATTTTCAAATATTCTATTTGTAAATATTCTGTTTCGAATTAAGAATGAAAAAGCTCGACACGAAAAGCCACCCAAAAAGACGCTTAAAACTGCTCGTCTCTGCTTCGGCGGTACTTTATATCTCACCTTTACCACCACGTTGGATGTTTCGAATGTGTGCTCGTTCAATGAACCGGGAAAAGCGCAAACGGCTCTACGTACCCATTTCGGCGCCAAGATTCTGCCAAGATCGCCGAGTGACTCAGTGTCGATGCATTTTCAGCCGCGCTTTGTTACACCGAACACGTGATCGCACACGATTGCGAGGGCAATTGTCTCACGTGTTGGCATCGTTCTAGCCGGCGGTACTCACGTGCACCCCACGTTCGCGAATCCTCGTAGTCGCAAACCCTTTGCCGTCGCAATTAGAACGAAACGAGTTAGTTCGCAGGTTCAAGATCCAAGTGACGAGTTTCTCTGCGTCTTCCAAACTTTGAGTTCCTCCAGGTTAAGGGCCTGAGCAGAATGGCTGCTCTTGTACTCTTGAGACAATGTTTTAATATTCTACGTCTTTGTCTTAAAGTGAGGCACAATAACTGTCTTGTGTCTTAGGGCCAGTTTCACAAACGCCGGTCAACTGCTGACCGAAGGTTAATTGATTCTCTGCCTTTTCTTAGATAACAAAATAGAAAAAGATAGGGAGTTGACTGAACCCTTGACAGTTAACCAGAGTTCAGTCAATTTCCTGTCTTTTTCTATTCTATCTCTATCCTTGTCTCTTCTTAGATAACAAAATAGAAGAAGATAGGAAGTTGACTGAACTCAGGTTAACTGTTAAGAGTTCAGTCAACTCCCTATCTTTTTCTATCTTTGTTATCTAAGAAGAGACAGAGAATCATTAACCTGAGGTTAGCAGTTAACCGATGTTTGTGAAACTAGCCCTTAAGAGTACGAGACAGCCATTTTGCTAAGGCCTTGACCCTTTCCGAACAATTCTCTTTCTTAGCATGTAAAGAAATTTATTTTATTTAACTTTAGCTAGCAATTATTTCCGTTTATTTTGGCTTCATAGTCGATTTCTATTGAGAAAGTCACCTGTCGCGCGTCTTCAATCATCTTGACAGTAGCGTAAGCTCAGCTCGCGATCGAAACGTAAAATTCGCGCGCCGCGCGTCGCAACGCCGGGATGTTTTTGCTTAAATTTTAATTGAAACGCATAATAGGGGAATAAACGGAGAACGTGAGGATGTGCGACGTACCTCCTCACGTTCAAACGTGAGAGGGATCAAGAATCACCGCGGTTGTTCTCACGAAACCAATTTACATTTTAATTTTGCCGATTCCCAGTCGTTTCACGTCTTCATGTAAATTGTAACGTAAACTCCTCGCATATTCAATACACGACTGGTACTGTCATAACATAACGCGAAGGTAAACGAGAACAGTGGTAATTGAAAATCTTTGTTACTCGATAATACTTGAACGAAGACTCGAGTGCCTCGGAAGTACGAGGAAATACTTGGAATGCTTGAAGCGAATGTGCTCTTTCAATCATCCAAACTGCACGGATTCGACTGCACGGCCGCGATTTAACGTGAAAACGTTTGATTTTTTAATCTGAACCGTTACGCGCGAGCAACGTTCGAACAGCCGATTTGTCGAACGCGAATGAGATATTGTTACGTTATTTTCTCTGTTTGCAGGCGATGTATAATACCAGGATTCTATACCATGGCGTTTTGTTGCTGCTCGCAGCGACGACCAGCACGGATTCGACAAAATGCTCCCGGATCATAGAAGGGACCACCGTGCCGCGCTCCCACGCCGAGGGCAAATATCACTTTTTCATGACGCTTTTCAACAGAACCGAGGTTGTGTACGCCTACATGCCAAATACGAAATATAACGGTAAGAATAAAACGTAGAGCTTCGCGAACGAAAGGCCTGCCACGTTGATATAATTTCGAATTGTATTGTTCATATTACGGAAATGTAAAAACTAATCCAACTGGAGCCGCTTTATTATTCGAGGAAAGTCCTCTATTATGAGATAGGATTCTAATATCAGTAGGTTTTCAACGTCCAAATTCAATCGCAAATCTTTTTTCCGCAACGATCTAACAATCAATTTTCCACTAAACATGTGTGTTTCGCTCCAAGGATAAGAAATTCATGGTGGAACCAACAGACGATGCTTGTTAATTTATTCTGTTCTCTAACGTTGACGACAAGACACATTGCTCAACGAAATTTCTGACTTCTAACTTAATTTTCACATCTCTAATCTGACGAATCTTACATTTTGTAGGCACTCTCGTAAGTTTGTTACCTGAAGAGGATCAGTATTACTGGCCGAAACGTTGTGTTGTATTATAACAAAGAATTGCCAGTGATCTTATTAATTTAGCAGAAGCTCCGATATCTTATATTAGGAGCCTATCTCATAATAAGGGATTTTCCACTATATGTACATATACTCTCTAAGGGCCAGTTCCACAAACGTTGGTTAACTGTTAACCAGAGTTTAGTCAACGCCCTATCTTTTTCTATCTTGTTCTCTAAGAAGAGACAGAGGATTAGTTAACCTTCGGTTAGCAGTTAACCGACGTTTGTGAAACTGGCCCTAAGAGTCAATCAATGCATTATAATGGTGAATTAGTGAATATTCACTGTTTTCAGTGATAATCCACTGATTGACTTCTTTTTTTAGAGAGTACGAGAGAAAGAGTGGAAATTGCGTTTGGTGTTCGTAAATTATACGGTTTGTTATACTGCACCAGTTGGATGTATGAATTGAGGAAATGGTATCCGACTGAGAAGTTAGTCAAAGTTGTTGCAGTCACAAGAAATAGCGACTGCTTTAGACCTTCGTGTGACATTTGAATGCTTTTAAACTTTAAATAAGTTCTGCAACGTGAGAAAAAGGACAAAGTGCAGGTCTTTCATTGACATTTACAAATCGTGCCCGGAGAATTACGTTTGCACAAACATATCGTACGTCACGTGTACATTTAGACGTAACATATTGCAGCCCTCCGTCGCAAATTTAAGATAAAACTTTAATTATACAGAAAAGCTGACTTAACTGAGATTTCTAGCTTAAATTTAGCTAAAATTGCATTGAAATTTCGTTAAAACTTGTGAACGCCGCTGTAAGGTTCGTCAAACGTACCATTTTTCGTTTATTTTGCGTTTTTCGGACTTTCAAATGTCAGCGACTTAATCCGACGAGATGCCCTGCCCGCGGAGGCCACCGGTGGTGTCCGCTGCGATATTCGATGCTAGCGGAATCTTGATGCCCTATAAGCCTTCTACATGGATACGTTTGCTGATACGAAACTCCAAGACTCTTAAAACGCCAGATATTGCTTCGCTTTGTCAACATTCTTTGGCTTTGCGATATTGGTGGAATAGTGACATGTGGTAGGCAAAAGGCAAATAAACCGGAAACCTTGCAACCGCCTGCGAAGAAAACCAAGAAATACGATGTATTTATATTTTTAAAATGTGTGGGCGATATTTACAATCGCATAAATTGCATCTATCGGGATTTTCGGAATAACAATAACTGAAATAGAGAGTACGTCTAGACAAAATCAACTTAGGAATCTCGACGCGATAGGTAAGCTCGTACGAAGAAAGTTTTTCGCTCGGTTACAGTCTACGAAAGGTCTAGGAAGAAAAAAGATCAGGCAGAAAATTTTAATCTTTTCCTTTCGGTAAAACAAAGATTTCGGCGCGAAAGGGAGAGACGAAGTAAATTCCGCCGTTAACACCGTCGCTCGCGTTGACGCCGAGAAATTGAAACGCACGGTGAGGTCATCGGCGTATCAATTACCCGGCATTTTGATGGCTGTCTGAAACACGACGCGCTCTCGCGCACGTTGATTTCCCGGTGGCTCTACGCCTTTAGCAGTAATTACGGCAATTACCGAAGGAGAGACTGTAGATCTCTCGGACGCCGCGGCTTTCTGCGCGTCGCAAACGCCGGCGCTCTTCCGGCCAGCGGAAACTGCGCTTCGGATCGAGCGGCGGGACGGAGATTCGGGAAGCGGCCGCGGAAGATCGAAAAGGTCATTTCGCCTTGAAAGTCGGGATAAATGCCGCGCGCACGACCTGCGATGAACTTTGACCGATTCGCTTTGTGACCGTTTCGCGCGCGGTTTGATAATCACCTCTCGAAAGGCTGTGTGTGTGAATCACCCGGGGTTGACCCGCCACTTTGAAACTCGAAAGTCCTCCCTGGTGGATTTGGCCTGAATTCTTTTTTAAAAATTGGACAATAACAGACGTTTGTATACAAATTGAACAGCTTATCAGTTAAATCTGTAATTTAATCTTCATCAAATCTTTGCCTCTATTCATTCTACATGGTGTAATATTTTATCTTGTCTTATAAAGTCAAGTTTACTTAAGTTACCAAGTTATCCCGTTGAAAGTTTTTAATTTTCGACATCTCGCTATGATCACGTATTAACATTGAAATTACTATCATTTATTAGCATTCAGTATTGTCTATATAATACAACAGATATCTATTACTTATTAATTCCAATTCTTACTTATATAACTCCAAGTCTATCTTTCACTTGGTAAAACTACCTTTTTACCTGGTTTACGTGGCCCGAGATGCCGACACATTTATCAAGCTCGACTGCACAGCTATCGTTACAGCTTTTTCGCATCTTTTATATCGAGTATCATTAACTTGCGCGACATGATATCGTTAGCTGGATCGATGACCGTAGTCCCGGGCCTCTCCTGCCTCGATATGCCGGGGTAGATACGACCCCCCGTCACGACCCTCTCGTGCCTTAGTGAGAAATCTGTCGGCTAAGACCGTCCAATCAGAATTTTACGGCGAAACACTGCGGATTTATGTCGCGTCGATAGGGACGATTCGCAGGAGGTGTCCCCCCCGCATAAGTTTGCATGCAACAAACTGACGAGCCATTCATTTTTCTTAATCAAATTCTGTTTTCGTTACTTGCACGTTGTCCTAATATGTACTCTTGAGTAATTACGGAGTAACTTTGTTTTCACGTGTGTATTCGTGGTGAAATTCACAGTGCAAGTTTGCGACGTGGAAAAAATAAGACCGACCGGGCCGGCAATTATAATCGTTTACACTCTTCCCATTGCGCGAACACTTTTGTTCGCCACTTCATGCGCGCTAGGATTAAACCGGTTCTGCAGGTTGATACAAATTCCGATGACTCCTACAGAAGCATCTCTATTTGTCCGGTCGGCGATCAAGCTCAATAAAGTTTGTTCTTGCTCTCACTTTCTCCCTCTTTCCCTGTCTCCCTGTCTCTCTCTGACTCTCTCTGTCTCTCCCTGTCTCTCCCTGTCTCTCCCTGCCTCTCTCTGTCTCTCCCTGCCCCCCTCACTCTCTTTCTCTCTCACTCTCTTTCTCTCTCTCTCTCTCTCTTTCACTTTCTCATCTCCATCTCGTCCTCTCGCGAAACTTAGCTCCAGCGCCTGCGGGCGTTCATACACTAACGCATGCAAATCTCTCGTGCCCGGTGAATTAATGCGTTATGTAACGCTGGCGGGACGCCAGGTGCGAGACACTGCGAGCCGCGTCGTGCTGCAGGTTTAACGCGAGCGGATTCAATGGCCCCGACCCGATAAAATTCTATTAAATCGCGCCGGCCGGAGAGGAGACGCCGCCGGTCGACCGCACTCGCCCCGGGGTTAAATCCCGAAGAAGAGTACGCCAGGAAACTCGGGGAAAATTATTGCGCCGTTACCGCAATGGAGAGTCGCGAAACAATGCGGCGAGGGATAGCCGGCACAGTCAACGTTATACGTATACCGCAACGTAGGTGTTAATCACGAGCAGATCTTTCCTCGTTGTAGACTGATCGAAGCCGCCGGACATCTTTTCTTATCCTCGACCAATTTGGAGTTTTTCCTTAAAATGAAAACGTATTGAGCTGCGTCTAAGTTTCGAGTAATTGACGATTGAAGCTCGGGCTTGCGGCGATTAATCAAGATAACTCTAAGATATGATCGTTGCGAAATCGTTTGGCTAAATAATCTTTGTCGTTATAGCTGTAGCCTAGAAAATGTCAAGGGATCACCAAGGTTTTTCATTTTCTAACTAACTGTTGATTGTCTATCTCTTCTTAAATAATAATATGGAAAAAGATCAAGAGTCGACTAACCACTGGTTAACATTTAATCAGAAAATGAAGACCCGGGCCTAAGAGTTAACGGAAGCTGTCGGCGCAAGCGACGCCGAGAATTGCTCGCAGCGTTAATTAATTTTAAACGCAACAGCTACGAATTTTCTCTCGTATTAAAAGCCGCGGAGCTGCGCCACCCTGAAAAATACAGTTGCCTAACGGCGACCCGTTAATTAGGGGGGTTGTTGGCTGCATGATCGCAACGGCTAATGCCCCACACCTATCGCGTTATATAGAGTATCGCTTTTTCTCTCTCGCTTCACCGCGATCTCAAATTTGCACGAATTAGCGCTATCGTTTCCCGACACCGTGATTACTCGCGAGAGAAAATCTCTCGTATCCCCGAGCTGCTCGCTCCGGCGAACTCCATCGCCAACCGCCGTCGGAAGTTAATGCCGTGGTCGTCGTTTCGCATCGCGATTATTCGAGGAATTTCAGCCACGCATCGAGAGAAAGAGAGTGAGTGAGAGAGAGAGGGGGGGGAGAGAGAAATGCGATATTTTACGTATACGATACTGTGAAGCGCGAACGCACCCGTTCATTAGTATACGAGATTGATTAATAATTCATCCCGTCGCTGTTGCGCTATCGTTGAGGGAATGTTACGCTCGCAGACAGACACTATTGTTCGGCTTTACGTGTAATCCGCTTTGTCGTGAATGAAAACTCGAGCATTCGACGAACGAGTTCAGCGCTGAACCTCGACGGGGCGGGATACGCGCGCGATGCAAAACGCTCGGGTCCAAACCGATTCTCATTCGGTTACGGGGTTTCGATCATCCGGTAAAAGTTACGAGCAACTGTTACTCGAAAAAAAACTGCTGGATACCATCGGGATTGGTACCCGATCTTTGAAAGCGGCCGCGGAGAGAAGCGAATCTCCAACGATATGGATTCTGGAGGAGTTCGCGTCGCGATCGGAAAAGCCAAGCTTCGCTCGCATGTTGCGGAACGGAGCGGGTCGGCATGAAGCTCCGAGGTGCGGCTAATCGAGAGCGTAACGAAAAGAATCCCCGTTATCGTCGAGGTACTCGACGCTGATCCTCGATGCGGTACGTCGGCGATACTCTCCTGACGTTCTCCGATGTCCGGGCGCAGGCTCGTTGCAAGAAACACGATATCCCGACGAAGGTCTCAGTTAACTACGTTTTTGCCGCTAATTCTTTTAATTCAGGGTTATGGGAATGATCATGCGGGAGGTGAACACGGACATCGTGACTCATTGTCGTCGCTCTCTCGAACGCACGAATTTCAGCTCCGATAAGTATAACGTTCCGTACACTGAAAAAAATTTTTGGTTGAATATGGACGAATCAGATAATTCCTTTAGGATTTACCAGAATTCCTTTAGGATTTACCAGAATTTCTGTAGGATTACAGGAATTCTGGTAAATCCTAAAGGAATTCTGGTAAATCCTAAAGGAATTATCTGATTCGTCCATATTCAACCAGAAATTTTTTTCAGTGTAGAAATGGTAACCATAGGACGCTGGAGAAGCTAATAGTTTACAACTTTTTAGCTTAATTCGTCATTACGTATAGACTTTCCGGCAACGAGCACTCGAATACCTATACTGTTTTATTAATGAAGTCTCGTATTCTAATCCGTGGTATATACGAGGGTGGGTTGAAAAATTTTGAGCCTAATATACAATTTTCTTTTCGGTCAAACTTACTTTTAGCTTTCGACTAATAGTTGGCGTCTTGCTCTGCAAAATAGGCATCTAGGGATGCCATGACCTCCTCGTTCGATGCAAAATTTCTGTCCTCCAAGCCAAACTTTGAATTTTGGAAACAGAAACAAATCACTGGGGGCTAAATCTGGTGAATACGGGTGGTGGTCAATCAGTTCGAACTACAATTCGTGAATTTCGGCCAGATATTCGATTGTTTCCATGTTTACGAAAATATTAACATCCACTGACACAAAGAATAGTCGTACAACAACTGCCTAAGGAGAACAAAAAGTCAGAATGATATCAATTTGATGTCATATTGACCAAAATTTGGTCAATATGGCATCAAATTGACCAAAATTTGACGTAAATTTGGTCAATATGGCATCAAATTAACCAAAATTTGACGTAAATTTGGTCAATATGACATCAAATTGACATCATCCTGACTTTTTGTTCTCCTTGGATTAGAGTCCAAAGTAGCTGAAATTTTCAGAGGTATCCTTCAAAGCATTTACAGTCGCAGTACTGACGTGACGACAAGTAATACCAGCTTCATGTTGAGGCTCAACACTTCTCAACCCATCCTCGTAGACACAAGCAAAAGGCTAATTAATTATTAAAGAAAGAATTGATCGAGGAGATTACACATACGGCGTCATAATTTCGAAATTCTCCTTCTCGTAAAGAGAAAATTACGCTCAATTACTAGTTTTATCAGTGTTTGAATATTTTCAAATGTTTCTTTTAATTGAATCGCGATTAACAGCTCCTATAAGACATGTATGCATAATTCATAATTGATTTTAAATCGCTTCTCTTTAAATCTTGAAAGGGAAATATTTAAAAATCTTGACTTCCTAATGAATTTTGTTCAAGTAAGAAAAGTACGATTTCGATAATTTTAAATTGAATACTATCGAAAGTTTAGTTTTAAAGTTTCTTGAAGAGTTACGCGGAAGAAGGAGAAACTTTGATCGAAGGTGTTGGATGAATATATCGGGGGAAAAGTGAACACTGTGCAAGGGATCTTAAAAATCCCTCTCGTGTATTGAAGGATTAAGGGCCGATGCGAGACTGCGCATACGAAGAGACGTGGTACAAGAAGACCCGTAACACCAGAAGCCATATCGTTCCAAACAGCTGAGTATTACCCTACACGGTATAGAGAGTGACCTACGAATGGACAACCTTGCGACCGGGCTGTTTCGCAATGCTTTTAACTATTTCATGTAATTATTTTTACGCAACTCTTTTTCATGTTCGTACGATTTGATATCTTTTTCAGAAAGACTCGGTGCAGTTGTGATATTTCGGCTACATCGTTTATAATTGGTATGCGTAATTAACGCACGGATATGTACATACATAACATAATTAAAAAGGATAAAAAATTTAATTAGGTCAAATAAAGTTAAATAGGAACATTATGATATAAATGAAACAAGCGAGAGCGCCTTTAGGTCCGAGCAAAATGTTGGTAGCCCAATAATTGTAATCTAATATGTGAATTTATATTTCGGTTTCTACCTTGCCCTGCGCGCCGGTTTCTTTTCGGGCATAATACAGTTTCATTTAGATGGAATCGTTGTCGTCAGTGAATTCACATATTAAAATCGATAAACGATTTCTAATTATTTTAAATGCAACATTTAGCATTCAATTACCCCCCGTCTCCGTACTGTAATTAGATCAAATATTAAAAAGGAATTATTTTATTAAAATTATACGAATCCACGGACGACGATAACTTATTGCTAGTGAAATTTAAATCGTTTAAATAAGCGTGGAGCGTAACACGCTTACATGTGTTAAAAATATTTCGTAATAAAATACATTTGAATCCCCTTGAACGTATAGTAACGGATTCGCGGTATGTCGTGTTTAATCCATGCTATAAATAGCAGGCCGCTAGCCGGGCTGGATACATGCTTCTATTCCGAGAACACGAATATTCCTTCGACACATGGAAAATCTATAAGTCGATATTCATGCAATCTATCGGCATTTCCAATAAAAAAATATTGTACCCTAATAGCACTAAATTTTACAACTACGGTACTTGGTATAAAATAAAAGAATTGCAAAGAAGCCGGCAGAAAGATGAATCGACAGTTTTGGAAAATAAGTTTAATACATTGACTTTTCCTCCGAAATGTGCACAATTCCGCGTGCTTTCCGGAATGAAATCAATATTCCGATGTGCATCGAGAAACTGAGCGCGACGCTTCCTCCATCGAACTTGATTGTTTTTCATACTCTCTACTAAAAGTTTTCCCTCGGTCGCTTAAATTTTTCCTGCCGGAGGGGGAGATGCAGAATTTTGTTTGCGCTCGCAATCAATTACGAACTGTACGCGAACAAAACGAAAGTTTCTGAACGCCCTTATTTGATATTTTTATAGATGTGCAGTTGATTACGCCGGAAATTATAACGATAACTATTCGTAGTCCACTTCGTGCTGTTTATTGAAGAATGAACCAATATAAAACTCAGGAAAGCTAGAAAACGCTGCAGCGGTAATATAAAATGTATGAATTGTGCAAAAATAAAAATACATATTGCACCAAAATATGATACGCGAAGCATATAATAACGTTTCTAATTCGTGTTTTTTCAATACATTTATATAAACGGAGGGTATATTGTATATTAATTAATAAAATAGAAAGAAAAAGGCAGGCAGATATATTAATTGACAAATGCATGCTATAACAAAAATTTATCACACGTGAAAAAATTTACTGCGGAAAAGTTTTTTTAATTTTTGTATTCTTGCCATGCCTTTTGAATCTTTCTGTTTGATTATATATTATAAAATGTATACATGATACTAATAACGAAAGATACATTCTCATATAAATCGCACACGCACAACTTAATTTCATATATTGTACTTATACATTTAAAAACTGCAATGTGATTTTGATAATCCGGATTTACAGTTTACTGATAGAAAACATGACTCTTCAGTCAAAAATTATACGTATACGTCATCGATTACATATCCTTTGTAAATAACATCTGTGTATTACTAACTCGAAACAAATGATATGGTTATATTATTAATTAAACTGCAAGATATTCTTTACAAGAAATTCAAATAACATGTATTAAAAATATAAAAGCGACATACGGCACTGATTTTATTGAAACGTTAAAATACTCTTATTACATAGCCTACAATGTAATAATAATATTAATAATAATTTATTATTAATTAATCATTGTGATAGTAGTTTTATCAAGTGTTTATTAATTACATTGTTTAAACACAAATACATACATGTCCTACCCAAATAGAACATATTAGTCATGAAAACATCAAGATGACATCATTTTTTGATCATTTTTTATGCATCATGGTGACGTTAAAATAGCCCACCGAGAGCACCTATTTGTGACATCATGAAGACATCAAAATGTTGTAAAAATGATCTTGTTTTACAAAGCAAAGTTAATTAAATACTATGCATTAAAAATAAATTGAAGTAATATAAGATAAACATAATATATGACTGATCATGTAATCTGTAATAATATATTATTATACACATCACGAATATCATAAAACAGCATGTCATAAATCAGTCGTCGCAAAGTAAATCTTGACGTCGATCATTTTACGACTTAAAATTCATCAGTTTAATGTCATATTGACGTTTTTGTGATTAACTAATTCTACTTGGGTAGTTGTCTAGTATATACTACATTGTTTAAATAGCTTTCGATATCTCTTATGTATATTTTCAACTGTGTATAACTATTTAATATAAACGCTATTTAATTACCAATGTAATTTATGACAAAGACCCTTACTTGGTAATATATGTATGTACGTGTACAATATCTCGAAACTTATGCGAAAGAGTATTTTAATCTTTCTATGTGTAGACTACGATTTAATATGTTAAAATAATACAATAACGATAAATAAGTAAAAAAATACAATAAGTATTGAATTATGTTCGAGAATGTTTGAGAATATATGTCTTTTAAGACGTAAGTACCTTATACCTACGATGATCACAAAACGGAAATTAAACGCATACATGGTAGTATTACTAATTTAACAATTATTGGCGAATGCCGCATACCTACTGCGCGTGTAAAATTTACGCATCACACATACGTATATACATATATATATGTATGTGTGTTTATAATTTGGATAATATATAATTTAAGCTTTTATCCTGTGGCCTTGATGCTGCTATCATACATTTAGCTTTGTAACGGTATGCTTCAAAACAAGGCGCAAATGTATACTCATTATTTTGCTTTACCACAACGTTCCATTTTGTGCATAGTTCCACTTTCAAGCTTTCGGGAAATATTGAGGTATTGTAAAGGAGAAAAACCTGATCATATATTAACTGTAATGAATATCTCGGAGTTTGTGCGGGCGTATTTCTGTCACGTAATTTGGTCATTATAGCAACGAGTGTCGCAAGGGGCGGATTTTCCAACTTGGGAAGAACTATCACGCTTAGAGGTAAAAATATCAGTTTAGGCAGCTCAGGCAAATCAAAATATAATGTGGAATCAATAATAAACTTTACAGAAAGACCAATATTATTATGGAACAAGTCGTTTGTTATACTCGGGAAACTTAGTGCAATAGAAGCAATTGTAAACTGGTTTTCAATCGGTACGGATTCGTGATCTATCCCGTACTTATTTATCATTAATTTCATCAAGATCTGCGCTGTCTCGCACGTTATGAAACTATGATAGTCTCCGTTCTCCGATTCAACTCTACTTTCAGCGATTTGATGCAAAAAGCATATAATACAAACATCTTCGTTAAATTTCATACAGTTAGAGAAGAAAAATTCACGTTCACCGTCCTCTGCACTATACGTGAAAATAAATGTTTGGGTGAAAGTAGGTTCCTTGTAAATACGCGTTACATTGGAGAAATACCTTTGCAACATCTTTGATATAACGAATTTTGGATTGAATATTGCAGAAGGTATCGTGTCAAGCGCGTTGAATTCTTGGATAAAATCGCTTTCACGGACGTGTGTATACTTTTCAAACATGTTTTTTATATTACTTAGTACGATTATGTCGCGTGTCTTCTCAGTTACATTTCGATATTCAGGCAGTTGCGATGGATTCGCAACGTCAAGCCGTTTATATGAATGCCAACGTTCCATATTGACCAACTGATTAAACGTCAACGCGTATGCTCTCAGGTCACTTTATTACTCAGCGATTCAATCACCTCGTATCATGACCCTATGAATCTTCTTTCTCCGTTTCTCCGAAAATCCCTTCTTTAACTCTGTGCCAACACTAGTTCGATGTGCACGCACAATGCCTGATTTTCTGCGTTTCAAAGTATGTAAAATAAAATATGTGAGTTACAAAAGTATCGGCGAATGCCGCGTATCGATGTTGCGCGTGCAAATGATTGCTTTTAACAGCGATTATCAAGAACGAAGCAGAACGCGAAAGAGAACGGGGAATAAATAATCGAATAAATTCAAATTTTTTCCGTGTCTGGAAGTGCATAAAATTCTGCAAATATGTTCCGGAACATCAGTATAGAGGGGCATAAATAATTATTGCTACGTTGTGCACGTACCTGTGGCTGAATTTCTGTGACAGTTGTTACTTGGAGTTTGCAGTGGATATTCTTCCGAAGAATTCGCCTCAACTATTATATGTCTAACTGGCTAATGAAGAAAAATAAAACAGAGCCGAATTTCTCACTGACAATTTCTGTTTGTCAACAAATGTAAGCGTGTATATGTGTGCGTGTATACTATGTGTACAAACTTATTCGAAAAACCGTTGTATCTAATCGTTAATCATCGTTTCCCATTTTCTCCGGTTATTAACGAAGTAATTATTAATGAATAAATAATTACTGCTGGCGACTTTTAAGAATATTCTTACTAGTTAAATAATTTTATTAATAAATTTTATAAAAATACTTATTCAGAAACAAGTAAAAGGAAACATTAATCGCATATGTCAAAAATGCAAAGTTATACAAAAGGATATTGTATCGATGTAACACATCGCGATTTTTATTACATTTCTTTGGATGTTCCATCGTATTTTATATCGTTGCATGTTAAAAGTATTTTATCAAATTCCATATCATGTTATCAAATATTATATTTTTTAAACTAATCAGAAACTCTTCAGGGTCGCCAGCAAAAATTAAAAACATCTAATTTGGTTGACCATATCTGGCAATTTTAATGATTTAGTATCGCTACGTTTCGACCATGGGTTTTGGTCCTTTTCAAATTAATATCACAAATGTTAACACTGTATCAATCTGTAAAATTCAATTTTGTAGTTAGACTCGCTTGAAAAGGACCAAAACCCATGGTCGAAACGTAGCGATACTAAATCATAAAAATTGCCAGATATGGTCAACCAAATTAGATATTATATTTTTTCCCCATTATATTATTACGAATAAATACACAAGTGTATTATTGATTCACAAGCGAAACTGCATAACGTCTATGCATACAAAACATCTTGCGGTCATTCTATAGAATGGGAATGCGATGCGAACATACCAAATAAAGATCGCCGATTATTTCAGTGGTCCTGCAGGCCGACAGTTCCGAGCAGATGCACCGGAAGTTCACGAGATTCCTGATATCAGCCGAGGCCGAAAACGCGAACGAGACGGCCGACGTCGGCGTTTTCGATCTTCAGGACGATGCGATGACCAAATTCGCGGATAATTGCGCGAACGCCGTCGTGGAGACATCGAAGATGCAGAAGGAACAGATACAAATTGTTTGGACCAGTCCTGCCGAAGGTAGCGGTTGCATCCTTCTCAGGTAGATATTTTTATTTAATTAAAAATGACATCTATTTCGCAGGATAATCATTTAAATAAATGGTGTCGACGCAACTTTTTGTTAGAAGTTGAATTTAAATGCCAGTATTATACAGTATTATCGTGCTATTCATACACGTGTAACATTATAATATATGCTTTTATAAGCGTGCAGAAAAATAGAAGCTTATTTATTTTGCGACATTTCAATGCAACGTATAAAACATCTGTGCCTATGTATATCATGTTTTATTTATAAACGTGCAAAATTTCGCAACGATATAACATTTCGCTGCGCGTACAGTATTTGTGTTAAAGAATTTTACTTAAAATGGACGTATAAAGGGACGGAAACGGTATTTATTGCATCCAATTTATTTCTCTCTAAAACAGAATTATATACTAATAATGTACATCTCGTAGCAAATGCGCTAATATGATATTTACATTTTAAATGCATGTAGATGTTAAACGTATAGGAACTGTATATTTTACAATATCGCGCTGTTCATATACGTGCATAATATTTAATACCCAGTCATGTGTTACGTGATGAAATTTTGCCGATTTATTCGAGCTTTCCCGAGAGATTATCTGTTTTGTCTTATTTTATCTTTATGCATTATGCGACAATTTAACAGCCTTTTGTACATTCTCGGATTCTCGGCATAATATCGATGCAGTTAATTACATTTTTGTCTTCTTTTCTTTCTTTTTGCAGAGCGACAGTATTGGAGACCACAGACACATGGTACATGGACGATTCAAATTTGGTCCTTAGTATGTGCCAGGACTCGAAAGCGGAAGCCGACGATCAGGGCCCAGTCCTTGCGGAGTGCTGTGCCTGCGATGAGGCCAAGTTTGAAGTCACGTTCGAAGGCCTGTGGTCGAGAAACACACACCCGAAAGTACGTGAACAAGTGTCGGCGACGGGCGAAAAGTGTGACGTATTACAGATTTATCTCTCGCAGGTCGCAACGATAATTTTATATTCTTCTGAGGCCTGACTTCGCAAGTAGCTAAAGAAAGACTTACATTTGACTATACATTCACATATATATAAATAATAACAGGGTTGGGAAATAACTCGTTACTTGTAATGAAGTTACAGTTCTAGTTACTTGTTTTTGACAACTCTAACTTAACTTCGGTACTTTCTCTCCATCTGTAAAGGACCGTCTACATTGGAAGTAAGCAGTAAGAAGTAAGAAAACCATAATCTTTACTTATCAGTGTAAAAGCTAAAGTACAGGCATAATTTTTTAAAATATTTATAGCACTGGTCGAGCTGCGCTCTAATTAGCCGAGAGTAAGCGTCAGAGCTGAAGTAGGAGTAAGAAATGGAAATAGTTCGTTTTTTTACTCCTACTCTTACTTCTTACGCCAGGCTTACTTCATCTATTGTAGACGATCCTTAACTGTAACTTAATTCAGTTACATTTTTTCGATAACTAGTAACTAATTTAATACTTACATCAATCGTTACTTTACATATATTTTTAATCTCCACAGATCGCATTGTGCATAAACGCCTTTATCGACGCTCTACAAGTCAAATGCAGATTTTTATTTTTATTTTTATTGCAACAAAGTAACTGCAAAGTGACGATTCGTTACTTTTTCAAGAGCCGTAATTGTAACGTAATTGTTACTTTTCAGAATTGGTAACTTGTAACTGTAAAGATACTTTTATAAAGTAACTTTCCCAACCCTGAATAGATATACATATGTAAAGAAGAATACGTTATGTTTTTGCTGATGAAAGAATTAAAAATCGAATACTTGGATAATAACATCGCTCGATTCCCTCACTTAAAGAAAAGACCCTTGCAGCATTCTCTTCGTACATTTGACGTATTTGGAATCGCGATTAAATTATTTGCGGGAAGTCTTTACACTATCGACGGTGCGGATTTATCGCGTCGTTCATTTATTATTCTGTCTCCCTACTAGGATTTCCCTAGTAAGGGTTGGCTCATTCGATTTTCGGACGTAATTGGCGCATCGCATACCGGCGCATACCGATTCTGGAATTACAACGGCATGGCTAGCATCGGACTGCGACAGGTGGCTGAGCTCGGAGCGACGCGGAAGTTGGAGTCCGAGTTAAAGGATCGGGTAAGAGATATATGCGAAATCGAACACTCCTAGATGAAAGCTCTGCGAAAGTTTTTAATTTACTTCATCGTATTTCCGAAAGTTACCATTTAAGAGAAATTAAGTATTTTAATTTTTCATCTCTCTTTCATATCACAATTCCATTAATATGCTGTTGCACAATGCGGTAAAAAGATATAAAATAATCAAGCGTTTCACTCAAATAAATTACAATTGTGGGTTAATTTGTATTAATTGATATCATAATTAATTAGAAGGAATTATTAATTCAGAAAGTGTGCAACTTTTTGAAAACTCCAGGAACTTTTTAGAAATTCATAAAATTAGTTCTTCGAAAGTATATTTATTGAGAGACAAACACAAATGTTTATTATATAAACGTAAGCACATATAAATTATCAGCAACAGACATTTATTGTTAGGAGTTTACTTGTAGAGCGAGCACATCAGAACTATAATCAAAGCAAGAGGTATCAGTTATCCAAATGTAACTGGTAGAACGTTTGCTGTGTTTCGAGTGGATAGAAAGCATCATCTAATGTCCCTGGTGTCTATGATCGGTAAGGCTAACGTTTTACTTTAAAGGAGTATTAAAATGAGTAAAAATTTTTCGCTCACCGACTAAAACAAAATTTTCCAGATCCTTCGCCGGATTGGTTCGTAGGCGTTTCTGGTCTCGAGCTGTGCTTGCCTAATTGCTCCTGGATCGAGCACAAGCAACTGAACCTTTATCCTTACGACGCTGGCACTGACAACGGAATTACATACGTGGTATGAAAACAGTTGTCAATTTTTGTTTCTTGTGATTTACGATCGACGGATACCTTAGCGGTTTTCATAAGGGAAAGAATATTTAAAATTGGCGAAACCCGCATCAAGGTAGGCGCGATTGTACTTCACTGAACGAGCGGAGAGACACTAAAAAAAGATACTGGTCGTCTATCGGCATTGAGGGATCGTATGTAATAACCTTTCGTGCGAGAGAATACCTATCAGTTCAGAACAGCTATTTCCGCTATACGCAACGACAGTCGTCGTTGCTCCCTCGGCATTTATCCCGACGAGTGCAAATTGTCCTTCTTCTACCTTCCACTGTTCTTCTTGGGAAAAATCCGGCGCGAAAATTTTTTAACTTGTAATACTAACAGCATATCTAATTATTATTGTCGCGCTGTATATTTATCATGCAAAATATAGGGAAAACACAGGAGTTAAACTGAGGTAGCAACAGATTTGACCGGACGCGTAAAGACATTTTTAAGAGAGATAAAATCCGCGGAAGATTCACAGAGGAATTTATAAGACAAATATCTTATAGCAAACATTTATAATTATTTCGTCGAGTAATATTTATTATCCTCGTATTAATTACTAGTCGACCGATTCGCCGACGAAGCCGCAGGAGTCGATTCGACGTATCACGTCGACGTACCCGGACGATGCGAGATCGCCTTTTTACGATCCGTCTGGTCTGGACATGAAACCCCTCGCGAAGCTCTATCTCAACAGACAGAGATTGTACGAGAAGACCTGCGATGACGCCGGCGATACGATGACTGATACAGGTGCTGTGGAGATAGGAATAAAAGAAATATAAAAAGAACTAGAAATTGCCGCCCGAAGAAACGTGATCGTGGAGAATTCACGACAGTTAATTGTATCACTCGGGGGAAATTTTAAAGCAGCGCATTAATGTTTGATCCGCGGTTCTCTCGGCGATGTAAAAAATTTACATCTCGCCGAGGAGGAGGGAAATAAAATGCAAAATTAAACGTCAGTTTTGAGACACTAAAACTCGTGAATGAGTTTCCGCGAAGTTGGACGATTAAAGTAGCATTCATCATGAATCTCCACGTCACGGGCAGATCCGCATAATTATTCTCTAAATTGTTCACGCGAGAACTATTTTAAAACGGGATAAGCGCGGGTGAGGAACTGTTTGCTTTTGCTCAATGTAATTCGTTTCACTACACATTTTGCGCATCACGACATGTTGTTTGCTCCTCATCTTGTAGACAGGCATCGCATGATGAGTCTGTTGTGCGTGGATAAGTTACTAGTTATGTAATTCTTCTTGTTTCGAGTGCATTAATATGAAATGCAGATGCAAGCGGTTTTTGCGTGGAACATCTAAAAAGATAATCGACGTTTCTTTATATTTAGAAGCCTGCAAAGTAACGGCTTGGGGCGAATGGAGCGCATGTTCAGCCACCTGCGGCAAAGGCACTCAACTGAGACAACGTCAGTTTCGCGAAGAAACCGCCGCAATCGCGAACAAATGCAGCACACCTCTCACGGGTCGAAGATCCTGCTACGACACACAAAGCCCGTATTGGTAATATACCTTCACAATCTCTCGCACTTAAGGACTAATTTAATCTTAATCTTTCGCGGATAGTAAGCTCTGCAAAGCTCTTACCCGCTACTTTTTTTTAATTCGCATTCGTATTCGTAATTGCTTATACTTTCGGCAGAAAATATTTTAGATTACACAAAGACTATAAAATGTCTAGTCGTACAAGAAGTCGTGGGAGCTATTTTTTATGTGATAAACTTGTAAATATGAAAAATCTTGTACCTCTGATACTTGTAACCTTATGACGATTTATTTATAAAAAAATGATAGCGCTTACAATTCGCCAGCATTAATAACGGTCGTCACAACGGACTCTTGGAGAGCGAGATGTGCGAGTTGACCCCGTGGAGCTCGTGGAGTCCGTGTTCGTCGAGCTGCAGCGAGGGCAGCATGACCCGGTCCAGGAACTTCCGAGACAAGAAATATCGGAAGCAGTGCAGAGCCGTGCCGAATGGACCGCAACTCCAGCAGTCGATCGATTGCGAGAACAAACCTTGCGAGGGCGAGGACGCGGAGGAGGTAAGGCGATTGAATCATTTGGACAACGATGACGAGGACGAGGATTTTACCGATGAGAGGGCGGACGGGCCCGGGGAGGATTGGCTGCAGGTATGAGAAGGTTCAGGTATAATTGGGACTGAGCGATCAGGTGGAAACGAGACTTCCGACGAAGCTGATTCGCGAAATTTTATTAGATTGCAATTGGTGAACTCACTATTAGCTGAGTTTACTCTGACTGCTAAGCCTTGCGTGACAGAAAAGAAAAAAACAATCGGTATTCGAACTCTCTCTCTGTGATAAATCCGACGCTAATTTTTCTTCAAAGCTTTGTCGAATACCATTTATATTAAAGCCTCTTAATTCTCATTATTAAATGAGAATTTAATTATGAATTTAATTCTTAAGTTCTGTGATACATTTTTATTGGGATGAGGAGCGGAGATAAGAAATTCTCCTATTTATCTGTGCCTTCGAGGATTAATGCGCAAAGCTTCTTCAATCAGTTTAATTTGTTTCATATTAATTAAAAAATGCCAAATACTTTTGTTTCAATCTATTAAAATAATTCTCCTTGAATTAAAGTCGCACGCAAGTGTGTCCGTTTGTCCGGTAAATTTTTTTTTATAAGGTCGCATCTTTCCAAACTACATATGATGCGATTGATATTCATTTGTTGGAGTTTCCGAATCTCATCCGAGCGCATTCGGTAAAATTTCGGCTCCTCGAAGAATCAAGTTCGTCGAAAAGTTTGTACAGTCTTACGACTGTTCACGTACTTTATAAGAATATATATCAAGCGGGCTTCATATGTTTACCAAATGAGGAATAAACGATCCGCTCGATATTTATTACACCAAGTCCAGCAGCTTTGCTAAGTATTAAATCACCAGGCAGCCAGCGGCGATAGCTTCGCACGAGTAATCGATACCTGTACCATTTCTCGTAGATCCATCCACGGCACCGGCACATTCACGTAAGTCACACGATATCGGTAAGGGAAATCTAGCACCTCGGCGTATGAAAAATTTAATCATACACTTTTTTATAGAATGCTATTAGAGCATACAAGAAGCGGTGTAGGGCACGTAAAGCTCTCCCGAACATCAAAAGCGCATTGAGGAATCCAAGTACCGGCGAATTAATTTCTTCGTTTTCTTTAAATCTTACTTCAGACTCATTTCCGAGTGCTTTTAAACTCCCTTGCCGTGTAACGACAGCTTTGCGATTAAAGATACAGCTGCTTGTTTTCATTTGCATAAAATTTATCCTTATCACCAAGAAGGATTTTCTCGTTCTATCGATAGAAAAATAAGCAGTTTTTACGAGTTAAAAACAACGGAATCATCTTTTATAGCTGAAACTGTTTATCTCGATTATTGGATTTGAAGAATATTTCAGAATCTTTTTAATCTTCTTGATCACATTAAACGATATCCGACAGGATTTTTACATGCTTATAACTTCGTCAATTTTACAGATATTATCAAGATGTTCCAAGAATTCTAAGAAAAGAAAAATATTTTGACAATTGAAAGTTTTATATGAAAATCCATTCGACAGTGCAATCTTGTGATGATGAAACCGTAGCAGATCAATACAGAATATTGGTTTTATAATCATTATTAACCGTAATCATTAAACGTGCATTTATGCTTATAATATTTTGCACGCGCAATCATCGTATAAAGAATGTAACAAGTTCGATTAAACGGCTCAATGAGTAAACCTCCACGATGAATTAGAGTCACGTTCGACGCACGGATCAAGAATATAGAAGCAAAACCCACGTTCTCTCTAAAATCTTTTTTTTTTATACTCATTTTGGAGTGCGAACTTCTTTTGCCGTACTCTCTGTGTACGTCACTCGGGCAATAGCGCGTGGCTAAGTAACGCTCGAAGTTAGAAGAAGAACGCGATTCATGGAAACGCGCGTTTGAAAGATTTTTCGGATTTACCAATTTTAGAGAGGAAGGGAATTTCGCTTCTGCGACGAGCTGCCCTCTCTTTGCATTGATTGATTTTTCATTCTCGGCCACAGACATGTGTTGCTGAACGATACACGGAATGGTCCATTTGGTCGCCGTGCAGTGCTAGCTGCGGACCCGGCATCAAGCTGAGATCCAGGCAGCTGTTGAATAAAGAAAACTTAGATAAGGACGACGAGAAGTGCAAGATGCAGATGGTGCCGTGCATAGCCGAAATTTCGAGCTGCAATTTCACGAGGGAGGAGATAGAAAGTACGTAGAATTGACTCTCAACTTTCCACTTGGCGACTGAGAAGCAAAAGAACCACGCGGCGGTCCACGGGGACTTATTCTAATGATATTTAAATTTTCATTACACAATACGTAACATGTAAAAATAACGCACATATATATTTTCGTCGTATCGCCGTGCATTTACGCTAGCAAAATTTTTAACAGTCGACAACCAGCCACGCGTTTCATCTTCGAGCGTTATCTGCACGTTTCTTATACGTGTTATCTCTATAATTGTAACAGCGGAACATCGCCACTAATTAGAGATTTGTAATTAGAGATCTGTAGCGAACCCCCGAAGACGGGAAACTGTAATGGGAACATGTTACGAACCTACTTCGATAAACAGACCGGCCGCTGTGAGTTCTTCATATACACCGGATGCGAAGCCAATCGAAATAATTTCCCAACCCGGCAGGATTGTAACAAGGTCTGCGGTAATTTCCAAAGTAAGTTCATTCCCGCACGCCGCATTTGCCGTTTTATAATAATGTTGTTAATTACGAAATCCTCGTCACGCGTGCACTAATGACAACTTTTCTATAATCAATTCCTATACCAGCGATAGCAACTCCAGTCAGCTTTATCGTATAATACCGAGTGTACGGTCATGGTCAGAAACGTTGTTCGACGTTTTACAATAAGTTTCAGAATAATCGTCTGTATCATTGCATAGATATTCGTGCATATCATTCCTTTGCTTTAATAAGTTGCACATAGTCGCGAGCAAAAGCTGTAATATCTCGCATGTTAGACTGTATTTCCGAAATCTATCATAAAACGCCGGACAATCTTTCCGACCACGACCGTGTGTCTCATATATATAATATGTTAATTCCTCTAGTCGCAAATTAAACCTATAAAAATATTAATCGTAGTATTCTTAATATATTAGAAAGACTACACTAAGAAAAGGAGTGTTAAATAAAAGACTATCTCTTGATCCAACCATGTGCGGCGGTTGTGCAAATATTTGTCAATTAAAAAAAAAGTACGTTTCGACAAAGATGAAGTATGTTTAACTTAAAGACATACTCCATTTGTCTATTTGAACTAAAGAAATACTAACAACTAAACGCATTTAGTCAACATCTCGTTCTTCTCAGACTGGAAGGATACACACGAAAATCGTGTAATCGTGAGACAACGCGGCATTTTGAAGAACTTTATGAGAGTTTTTTTAAATTTCACTGTACATTTTACTAGTAAAATGCATGCTAAGTATAATTATTAGTGAAATGTATGGTAAAATTTCGAAAAAGTCTTATAAAATTGTACGTAATACCGTGTCGTTCCACGATTACAATATTTTCAGGATAAATTTTAAAAGAAGAATCTCTCCGTGTATATTAGCATATCAATATATCCGAGAAGGAGGATATATAGTAGAGCAATGATTATTATTCAAATTTGTTGTATTTCTTGAAGACTTTTAAGATTTACGCGCTTTTTTGCCGTCCGCACTCTTAATCTGCATCACTTAGAGCTTCCGCGTTGCGAGTGAACTGTCTTTTCACGAATAATCGTTTGTGTTATACCCTGCACACGCTTACTAACGAATTCAGGAGAATTGAGGGCGAATCTGTCGGCAGTCATGAAAAACTTGAAGGTGTCCCTTAGCAGCGTCCTCAGCTATCATATCCCCGCTCAGGAGCAACGCAGCGCGAAAGCGAAGAGAGCGCAACACGGTGATAATTAATTGCTTCATGCAGTTAATAGAAAAGTTATTCAACACTTCTAATCGACATCAAACCCAATACTCATGACAGACACGTACACGCATACGCACACACTCTGCCTTAACGGAAAATATGAATTTAAAAACCATTAGCCGAGAAATGCAATGCACGGAAATTTCTGCTTCGCTGGAGATCATTTTGCGCCTCTTTACAGAAAAGGAGAATTTTAACGGCATTCAAGCGAGCAGTCAGATAATGGAATCGAGTGAGAATGGCAAAGTGGACTGCGAGGTCTCCGAATGGAGTAAATGGTCCCGTTGTGAGAGCTGTCGCGGATATACAATGAGCACCAGGCAAATTATGGTATTGTCAGGAGAGCTTATTCGCGTATTTAAATAAAAATTTTGTTTACAACCTAAAACAAAGCCTAAGAGTAATAAATACTGGCATAGATCCTATGTTGGAATAAGTTACATGTACAGTACATGAAATTGCAAAAGAATGCTGCCTCGATAGAGAATACATCGATACGCGATCGTGATTAGATACGCGTGGCTATAAAGTTGAATTCTCTTGCGAACAGATTCCAGCCGAGAATGGGGGTAAAAGTTGTCCGAAAAAGATGTCCCGAAAAAAGAAGTGCCACAAGGTTCCGCCGTGTTGTAAGTGTTGTATTGCTTGCCTTGCCTACATTAAAAACAATTTAATTAGCGAAACAATTATGAAAGCTTGATTTTTATTAAGTTTCTTTAAGTCCTTTATTGCACGGAACGGAGTTCTTCGGATTTGGACGTTACGCGCTGTTTTGATCGATTAGAGAATACAATAAGAACTACATTTTTGCAGCTCTGCAGGGTGATGGAACGGGTCGGCGATTTCATCGAGACAAAAATACTGATACCGAGCACGAGAGTAAGTTCCAATTGGTGTTGCCTCGAAATATCGTTTTACATTTTTAAGTAAAAAGGCAAATTGGCGGAATTTATTTTATTAGAATTTCTCGCTCCTCGCGATTTTCTTGACACAAAAGAGCACTTTATTTACATGCGATATACATTCAACTGCCTGGACTCGAAAATACAAACGACATTAAATTTCTGCGCGCTCGGAAAAATTGCTGGAGCGAATAAAACTGACGTTTCGACCGAACACATTCGCAAACGAGTGGGAGGTCCGTCGAACGAATTAACGCGATAGACAAAGCGAGTTCATTGCGATTTGCTCTCGGGGAGTCTGACATTTGCCTGATAAAATATTTGCGCAGGGGTGAACGTCGGTTCTGTTTGCCTAACAGTCTCGTTCGCCAAGTTTCAGTGGATTGCAAAGTGACACCGTGGTCAACGTGGTCCAAGTGCAGCGTGACTTGCGACGAGGGGCTGCGAAATAGGGTCAGAAGCGTGACGGTGAAGCCGAAGGGAGCCTGGGCGAGACTCTGTCCGACCTTGGTGGAATTCAAGAAGTGCCGCCGGGTGGACTGTCCGCAGTAGATGTAGGCGCAACGTTTTCGCAATTTTGTCGCTCTCGACGGGCGATTTACGGCGGTGCGTTCCGTCTCGAACGTTGGAACATGACCAGACTGATTAAACGATTTCCTCTTCGATACATCATCGAAATCTCGAAGCGTTTAGGAGGAAACGGAACAGAAGTATCGGGGGATAAGAATAACACTGGACGACAGTTATTTTGTCGGACATTGATGCTTTTAACGTCAACAGTTGTTCGTTTAAATAGCGAATTAATAAGATAAAAGTCAGAGAGACAGCGAATGAAAGGACGAAGTAATTCATTTGCGTTTGTTTTTAGTTAAATTGAAGAGATTAAAAAATTTTAAATAATACAAGTTTATCTTACGGTACAGTCATATCGTTTGCGTTTATGATTTCTACATTTTTTAAATTTCACTTGGTGAGAAATAGCAAAGTGAACTTTCTGGATTTTGATTATCGATATTGATAAGGGGGAAAATTCAGTTTCTCTCTCGTGATACACACAGAACCAACATTTAACTACACGGTACTTAAGACGAATCGCACGATTCACCGATTACTTTCTATGGAGAATAGAAAATTCTATAAAGACGTTCGTGTTCCTCTAAACGGCTACGATGAGGAAAGGGATTCTGGGAGTGGCTTCTCTCTATATTCGTGTCCATTCTCTGTCCTCCAGTGTAATTTATTACGCACAGAGAAATCATACCAGGCGTCCTTTCGCGACGCCCGTCGTACCGATGTTGAATTACTTAATAGAAAGTTTCGTATGACTTTATTAATCCTAATGCGCTATAACGCGCGACGTTTTTCTTTCCCAACATGGTATTAAGTTAAGGCAAAATGGATTTGCATTCCAATGCGTCAGTCGTGCTTAGAAAAGAGAGAACGTTAGAATTTTTGCAATTATCATACCCGTAACAGGACAATGTCGACTAGCTGGATAGATTTTCGGCGAAAGGTGAAGACAAATCACATTTGATATCTGTCTAATGGTAGCAAGAGGATTAAATCAGAATGTATCGCGGCGTAATAATATTAATGTTAATTAAGTAAGTCGCTCCTCTCTAGCGCGAGTAGTGAAACGCGAAGGAGACCACTTCGACAGCACTTATTTACACACGTACACGCGTGTCGTCATATTTGTAGCATTTATCACGCATTACAGATCTCATTGCAAGACCAAAGTTTGTATAACAACTTCAGTTGAAAACTGAGAACCACGATATTTTAAAATACAATTGTAAAATGTGCGACGTAGACATATCAGTAGCTCGGTAGGCAGTAAGCCGTTTGTTTGGCGCGTAACGGAAAGTTTTATTAAACATGGAATTCTCTTCATTGACAATAATGAAATTGTAGATATGGTACAAAAAAAAAGCTATTTACCTGTTATTCTTTTGTAACACCGTTATAATATATTCAAAATAAATATAATCGCTGTAAACATATTCACATTATATGTACATGTTATATTTGTATGCAAGTGCGCACACATATTGCGTTGATCTAGTTGCAGGCAGGATTTATTTTCTCTTGCGATATTGATGAATCGTCATCCGTCCATTAATTACACCCAACAAATCTCATGTGTTGTCTCTTTCAATAATTAAGGAGCCGTCGGTTTTCTCCTTGCTATCTACAGAATCGCCTTCTTGCTTATGTAAAGGAGTTATTAGTAGCAAAATAGAATTCTTCTTGGACGGCATTCGCTGGACACTGCCGCTGTTTCTCACAGCATCCTCTATGGCTCTCTGGACCTTATTCTGCGCGTTAAATGAGAAGAGAAACGTACACGTGATTAAACAATTCTCTGCAGTGCGCCCCGACGTCGTTTTCTTTTTATAAATATCGTAAAAAGATTACAATTCGAAGGAATAAAGGCTGCAAAAGCCAAGACGGGGTGTCCTTTGTTCCTTCGAATTTCACGAGGGGGAAACCGCTGACCAAAATCTTGTACACCAATGCCCACTAATGCCCAATGGGCATTACTTTGTCTTATTATCTTATTTATCTTGTGCTATCTTATTTTATCTTTATAATGCCCCAAGTAATGCCCAAAAATTGCCTAGTAATGCCCAGTAATGCCGCAAATCTGTACACCACAATGCCCTCAGCGGTTTCCCCCTCGGAATTTCACGTCGGAGCCTTTTATTGTATCAAAAATTTACACTCTAGACATTATTTTACTGTGTGCTCTCATCCGACAATCCCTCTTACAATGAGTTACCTCCTACGCCGATCAGCCGTTGCATTATGGAGAGAAACGGAGGGAAGAATGACAGTAGAACTCACCACGTCGGCGCCGCCCTCGAAGATAGTGATCTTGACCTCGTGCCCCTTGCTCACCAGCTTCGCCACGTTCTTCGTCTTCGTCTGCAGGTCGTGCTGGGCGATCTTCGCGGAGACGAAGAGCAGTTTACGATCCTTGCCCGGCCTCTTATTGACCCCGTCGAGGGTGTCGTCGTCCACCGACCTGGCCGGCCGCGCCCTGGCGTCGGGGCCGTCGACGAGGGCGCGCTGCACCGCCGGACGCTGGGCCGCGTTCAGCTTGGTCGACTTGCCCGGCGATGCGTTCCCCGGCACCGACCCCGTCCTCCGGGCGCCGTCGTCGCCGCCGCCGGGCGCCCCCGGCTTCCCGCTGCACGCGCGACGCTGACCGGACCGCCAAGTGTCACGCGCCACGCGACACCGGCTGAAGCTCTGGGCGAGACACACGGCTCTCCGTAGGGCCGGCGGTAATCCGGGAGCGAACATAGCTCGGTAGCTCCGCTTCTGGCGAACCTAACCTCTACGATCGCCGCGCGCCACGCGTTCTAACCTGTTCCAACCTCGCCGCACGCTGACGTCGCGTCGGCGGTGCTCCCGCCGAATGTCCGCTCCCTGAGGCCCGCTTGTCGCAATCGCGGGATGCGAAACGAGAGACTGGTCGCGACATAATCGACGACAAGGCAGAAAAGCGCAAGGACTCGGCATGCCCGTTGACGGGAAAAGCGCACGGACGGGAGCTCAAGTGTACGAGGATGGGGAGGTTACTTCCTCCACTTCGCCCTCCTCAGTCCTCTCGAGGGCGGACGGTACGCTGTTGAAGATCTTCCTCCTGATCACCTGCATCAAGGTTCTCCTGATTCCTACTTAGTAAGCGAGCTTTCTCCCTCTCTGCTGGCCGAAGTTCTTGCCGGATCGTTTATTCTCATTTGGAGATTCACGTCCGTTCTCTAAACTTGCAGCCGCTCCACCGACTTCGAGGTACATCGCAACTGGCTGGCCATCACGCACAGTCTGCCTGTCGCGGAGTGGTATGTGGACGCCCGATCCCCCTGGACTCTCGACTATCCGCCGCTGTTCGCGTGGCTCGAGTACTGCCTCGGCCAAGCGGCCGCGCTTTTTGACCCGGAGATGCTCAGAGTGGAGAACTTGAATTATGCCTCGCCAGCCACGGTCTACTTCCAGAGGGCCACCGTTATACTCGCCGACCTGGTACTCGCTTATGGAGTCAGGGAGTAAGTGCGTCTACAAAATTTGTGGTTCGCGTAACTACACAAGGCCTGGTTTCACCAACGCCGCTTAACTCTCAGTTCAACTCACGCTTTGTTTCTTTCTAGGGTCCGGGTTCACCAACGTCGCCTGACTTTGAGCGTAGCTTGATTCTCCAACTGTTACTTTAGAAGGAGAAAAACGCGAATTGAACCAATTGAAAGATTGGTTGATTCACCAGTTGTTAAGCGACGTTTGGTGAAACCAGGCCCGAGGGGACAGTTAGGCCTGGTTTCACCAAACGTCACTTAAATTTAATCTTGGTTTAGTTCACGTTTGTCTCTTTCGAAAGTAACAGTTGGAAAGAGGCAAAGAACGAATTAAACTAGGCTTAAAGTTAAACAACATTGGTGAAACCGGACCTTAGGCTTCACCAACGTTGTTTAACTTTAAGCTTAGCTTGATTCGTTGCTTGTCTCTTTCCAATTGTTACTTCAGAAAGAGACAAACGTGAATTAAACTGAGATTAAAGTTAAGCGACGTTCGGTGAATCCGGGCCTCAGAAAGACACAAAGGATGAGACACAAAGTTAAGTGACGTTGGTGAGAATCTTTCTTGAAGAAAGCAATATCTTCGTAGAAGAAAAGATAATTTTTTAACTAAACAACATATGAGAAAACGCCAGTGCGGGTCACAAGGCAAGTTGTAGGTAGCCCAACTTGTAATTCTTATATTAAAAAATGTGCATTTATATACCGTTTCTTCTAAAAATATAAGAATCACAAGTTGGGCTACCCACATCTTGCCTTGTGACCCACACTGGGCGTTTTCCCGTACGTTGTTTAGTTTTAGTTAGGGATCTTACTCTAAGTTTATTATAATTTTTTAAGATATTTATAAACTGGTAGTGAATTTGTATAATATGAAATCTAAATGTTTCTTGTAGAACGGGTAGGACATTTTGCGAAACTTTAAACAGCCACGTAGCTTTCATATTCTTATCATTGTGCAACATAGGACTGCTGATAGTTGATCATATACATTTCCAGTACAATGGTTTTCTACTTGGCATTCTGTTGATCTCGATGGCGAACGTGTCGAAGACCGGCGAGCAGGTAGATTTTGCAATGTGGACATTGCAATCTGGAATTGACTCGTAATAAGAAGCGCCTTGCTTTCAGGTTTCAGTGTTGCAAGGTGCCGCGTGGTTTGCCATTTTACTCAATTTAAAACACCTGTATTTATACGTGGCGCCGGCGTACGCTGCCTGGCTATTGAAATCATATTGTCTGGGCAGTGGCAAGTTCTTTAAACGGTTCTTTAGTCTCGGACTCGTCGCCTTGACCGTTCTAGCGGTGTCCTTTGGTCCGTTCAGGACTCAGTTGCCGCAGGTAACATTAGTGCGACTTTCAAATTGTATTTCTCCCTCGAACATTCTTTTATCAGCGCTCTCTTTGTCAGGTAATCTCCCGTTTGTTTCCGTTTAAAAGGGGCTTGGTACATTCGTACTGGGCTGCAAACGGCTGGGCTCTGTACATCGGTGCAGAAAAAGTGCTGTCTCTGATGTGGAAGCGCTTAGGTTGGTTGAAGGATCCTAAGTCCGCGGTGATGACGGGCGGTCTGGTGCAGGAGCAAAGCTTCCTGATACTACCCACACCAACCCCTATCGTTACGTTCCTTCTGACTTTCGTGACGATGCTCGTAAGTTTGTAAATAGCGCAAAAGTAAGACCAAGCTATTGTTCCGTATTAAATATATATTTTGTACTATTATATTCTTCATATATACATGGATTAAGTAACTCGATGCAACGTGTTTCAGCCTGCGCTATGGTGTCTGCTGTGTAGAAAGTCCCACACGAGCTCGAGACATTTTGTCAGGTGTGTCGTACTGTGCGCTTTAAGTTCATTCATGTTCGGCTGGCATGTACACGAGAAGGCCATACTTACCGCGATCATCCCTTTGTGGTGGGTAACCGTAGGCTCGGTAATATTTAAGCATGCGCGTATTTATTTTTAAAAAGTAACTTACGCCATTTTCAGCGTCCTCGCGGCGATGTATGCGGAGGACGCGCGCGTGTTCGTTATTTTAAGCGCCGCCGGACAGACGGCTCTTTTACCACTGCTACATCCCGACGATTTGTCTTCGCTGAAATTGCTGTTGTCGCTGACGTACACGCTCGCGACGGCTTTAATCCTGACTAATCGGCACGGCCGGCCTCTGTTACGAGTACACGAATGGCTGTACGTGATGCCGCTGCCGTTAGTTACAGTCTACGAGGTGGTGCTGCATAAATTGTTGCTCGGCGACAAACTACCATTCTTACCGCTGGCGTTCACTTCTATTTACTGCGCCGTCGGTGTAACTTATTGCTGGATACTGTACTATTACATGTATCTGCGGGAGGGGACTCGTGCCAAGGACGGGCCAGCGGGTGGCGAGCTGAGTCGCCAAGAACTGAAGGACAAGCGTTCCTAGAGGATACGAATTGCTAAGGACCTGTACATATCTTCCCGAGCGAAATAAAGCTTTTGTAAATTGTATGAAACTAATCGCCTGCATTGCTTGGACAATCATGTGTGCGTGTGTTCAATGTTTATAAAACACGCGTCGTAAAACTTGGGCTGGTATTCACAGTCGGATCTTGTATTCAAGATCGTCTTGAATTTATCTAAAGACACTGTATGGTGCCTTTCATTGGCTATGGGGTATCTAAAGATGATCTTAAGATGGTCTTGAATATAAGATGCGACTACGAATACCGATCTTAGGCCGGTATTCATAGTCCGTTCTTATATTTAAGATCATCTTAAGTATACTCTTAATGTGTTTTTAACCAATCGCAGAGCCGTATTAGCTTCTTAAGACAACACTCAAGATGATTTTGAAATAAGAATCGACTAAGAACCGGCCTAAGGCCGGTATTCATAGTCGGATCTTCTATTCAAGACAATCTTGAATTTATCTAAAGATTCTGTATGGAACATTTCATTGGCTACGGAGTATCTAAAGATGATCCTAAGACGGCCTTGAATACAAGATCTGACTATGAATACCGGCCTTAGACTGCGATCAAGCTGCCTCCGCAAGCGCTTCGACGCGGTTCTCCTCTCTTTCTGTCTTCACCGAAAGAAAAGAGAAGAAGAATACTTGGTAGCATTTGAAGCGACAGATTGCTCGCAGCTTTAATGTCATTGTAGAGATTTAAGGAAGAGATTTTGGCCCGTGTTCTAGATGCTCTTTCGTCGGTAAAAGCGCTTCTAAAAGTGACTTGTAGCCAGTAGTCAGAAGACTTATTAGCCACTTTTCGAGGTCCAGAATACGGGCCTTTTAAGGATGTATCTGAGATACAATCATTGACAAAAATCCCCCAAATTCGAAAAACTGGCATATCTATGCTAAACGTGCAGTAAACCTAGTGATAACTGATATAAATGGTAACTAACATAATATATTTATTTTTAAAAAGTTATTTTTCACATTTTTCAGCACTTTATTAGGTTTATTTGCCATTTTGCAACTTTTTACAATAAAACTTTTGGCAGTGAAAATGCTCTGAATTCAACCTTAGAACATCAAATTTCTTATTTATTTAACACCATTATTTAGCAGTGTAATACAGAAAAAGTAATTGGAATATATATATATATGCTTTATTACCTTTAGCTTACAGCCAGAAAGTGGGACTTGGTTTACAAAAATTCCTTAACCACTCATTCATCCATACCCTCATAAAAGTAATTGGAATATAGTTAAAAAGGTAAATATGCATTATTTAAACAATAACTATAAATATTATTTGTTATTAATATTAATATCTGACCCTCGATGAAACGGGTTAAGCGTGGCAACAGCGCGATTTAAGTTTATGGCTTGAAGGTTGATAGCAATGCACTTTTGACATTGCGAGCTAACCTCTGTTTAGTCCTGCATCACAATGTCAAAAGCCACAAAAATGTATCGGTGGAAAGGTAGAATAATTAGTGAAAGTACGTATCGAAAGAGACTTGCGCAACAAAGATGTGGATTTTTGAGAAAAAAAGTTCAAATTGTGCGAGAAGAAAAGACTGAGCTGATTGCGACGTTGCCGCACTTCCACAGTCCAGTAATTGACATATTACAGAAACCGCAAAATTGTCATGAATAATAATTAATTTCTCCTAAACCGTGTTGTGAAACCTAATCGAATTTTGCACAAAGTTCCAATAATTCGTGGTCTATATGTATAAAAAAAATTAAAATTTTGGTACTATTTTTTCTATACTTTATTACTCATTTCGTTCAAGAAAATTGCGTTTCCCACAAGAACACGTGTAAAATCAGACATAATTGAAATAATAATTACTCTCTAACGATTTAGTAAATCTACTTAAAAATTTTTTCAGTATATTACAGATAACAAAGGAAGTGTTTCCCGAAGTTTCATCAATTTGGTACTATTTTGAAATAGCTCAGATACATCCTTAAGATTGAAAAGTAATCTGTGCTACTTTCCTAGCGCGTCACCCCGTGAAAATTGTATTTTTGGCGCGAACGTGATCGACGTTGGCGCCCCTGCGCGAGCGGCACTTCAGATCGAGAACGTGTCGCGTGAAGTTGTCTCTTTCGTCGCGCGTTTTCCCGCGGATTTCGTCAGGACTGTGGCATCGGCGATGTGCGGTCTGCGTGCCGTTTAACGCGGCGTTCGTTTAAACGTCGCCGAAAATTACGCGTCCCTCGGCTCGCAATTCCCTCGCGGTCCAGTGCGACGACGCGTCCCTCCGCCACGATCGGCCGAACCGTCCCGGCGAATCGTTTGCCCCGGTTCTCGTTTAGGTTATAGCGACGAGACCGCGCTGACAGATCCGCAATAACGCCCGAGGAAATGTGCTGATCGTCCCGCTACTTCGGAAATTGCGAGGTAAGTTTTGCCAGTTCGATCGTCATTCGGCGAGAACGCGCCGCCTCGGTTTCTGTAATTTCAACATTCCTCGATAGAACAAAGGGGCAAAAGGTAACGAGGCTCGTACCGTGTTCCAGGTTTGACAAATGAAAAGTATGGACGTTTCGACAGACGACGTCGATTGCCTGGTAGATGCGGTCACGCCCGCGAAGAAGAAGAAAATGAGACAAGGTACTTGGATCTTCTTACGACGTACGTCGCGTCACGGCGCAGGTATTTAATAGCTGCTCGTTATTTCAGCACAACTGCCGTTTCAAATGCTGAGTTCCTCGAAATCGCCAAGCAGCGCGGACAACGTGCTTAACAAGAAAAAGCGGAAGATAATATCGCCGGTGGTAGGAGCCAAGAACTCCAAGGTGGTGAAGCTTGCGGCGAAAGAGAACTTGGTCAGAGATGAGAAGAAAGAAGATGCGGACGAAATAAAGCGGGACAGCAACGACGACACCGCCGAAATCTTGACGTCGGATGACGAGAAAAAGGAGCAAGGCGATACGCAGAAGAGCAGGGAAGACGATGGCACGGCTAAAAGCGGTGGTCTAGGGAAGGACAAGAAGCTGGATAAATCTCAACAGAAACTTGGTGCCTTAACTAAGTTCCTCAAAAGAACGGACAGAGTGGTCGAAGAAGTTGATATTAGCGGTGGTGATAATTTATCGGAATTAAAGGACAAAAAGGACTGTCAGAACACACCCGCGCACAAGGGAGAAAGTAAGATCCGATTGAACGAGAGTTCGGATACGTCGTTGGATCAGTCTGAATTGCAAGATACGTCTCGGCTGAGTGAAACGGATGATTGTCTCACTGGTAAAAGTGTGGAGCTCTCTCTTCAGGAATCAGACTGTGATATTACTATGCTATCGTCGGATAATGAGACCTCGAGCGAGTTGGACAAATCAGTAACGAGTAAGGAAACGACTGACAAATCTGCAACTTCTGTTACTCCGAAAACTAACAAAGAGGCGAAGAGTAAAATTAAAACATTAACACCGAAACAATTGGAAAAGAGGCGGGAAATTGCTAGGAGAAAGGAAGAGAAGCTAAAATTAAAAATGGTATGTATGTGTATAGAAGAAATTTAAATTTTATTTGTTTATTTATACAATAAATTTATTAAATTATAAAGCTGATTGTATTGCGTGTGAATCAGTTGTTTTTATATATTGTACATATTGTTCAATTATATTTTATTTTTCGTGTGTTAGGAGAAAGAAAAGAAACGGGAGGAAGAAAAAGCAAATCGGCGAAGGGAGAGAGCGGAGAAACAGAGGGAGAAAGAAGAGAGGGAGAAAATGGAAAAGGAACAGAAGAATAAGGAAAAGAAATTAAAGGAACTTAGGAAGCAAATGGAGAATGAGTAAGAACAGTAGCTGTATCTTATTTGCACATTTTGCGTTGTACGCTTATATTAAAAGTCACTTATTTCTAGACAAAAACAAAAAGAAAAGGAGGCTAGAGAAGAAGAGAGGAAAAAGCGGGAAGAAGAGAAGAGAAGAAAAGAAGAGGAACGATTGGAAGTCGAGCGCAAGAAGCAGAAAGCTGCCTCGAATTTTGCCAGCTTTTTCGTCTCTAAGAAGCAAGAGGCTAAATCGGCGGACGAAGAGAGTGTGGTTGAAGTGAAAAATTTTATGCCTTTCGAAATAAAGGCTGACATGAGAGTCGCCCCGGTCTGTCGAAGGAAGTTGAATGACCACGATAAATTATTGTTAGATAATAAGCGCAATGCAGATGCAGATGTAGATGGAACCGAATTGTACCTCGAGGATATCAGAAGAAGAAGGATTTTGACGCGTACTTCCTCCAAAACGTGGCCGCTCGAAGCAAAGGACGACATAGCGAAGGATGATGATATCGTCCTTCTAGGTAAAAACACGTTTACAGTAAAATTACGTTTATAATACAAATCCTTTGGTATCGTTCGTTAAATGTTTTAACGAATATAATTGATTGTTTACAGACGAGGACAACGACGGCAGTTCTAACATAATAACGGGCACGCATAATTTGGAGAAGCACCGGCCAAAATTACTGCAGTTCAAGGAAAACCGTCGTCCTCCGTATTGGGGCACGTGGCGGAAACGAAGTAGCGTTCTAAACTCTCGGCGGCCGTTTACGAAAGACGAGGTAAGAATTAATAAAATGATTCGTGTACCAACGTTCTTTGTGGGAATGTTATTTCATTATTTATTGTGAATTGTGTATTGAAGTAACTGCCGCCAATAGGGACTAGTCGTACTAATACTAGGTTAAATAAATCTCTCATTAAATTTAACGCAACTTTTCGCGCCAATTTTGCTTTCTTTTTGCAATCAGAAAATATTTTGGGCATACATTTAGCTCAAAAATGTATATAATAATCTTTACGGTCGTCTTAACATTATGTCGTTTCGTTAGAGTTAATATCGGTGGTTCTTGAACAGGAACGCAGATAGGTGTGTTAAGATTATTTTAAGAATCCAAGGAGGATTAGCCGCCGGAAATGTTAAGAACCACTAATCTATACCATTCATTTCGCACGAGTTGTACCTTGTATATGAAATTACCTTTACATGGAATCAGTTTAAGTACCTTATTTGTCAATTTATATAGGAGAGCTATAGTTGTGGCGTCGTTTTATGTTCTTATGATAAACTTTGGCTTGCTTTATTAATTAGAAGAAAATTCGCAAAGGCGCGAGAGTGGGCGGAAGGTGGGGGTGTCTTAGATTTACGACGGTAAAACGTTCATCTTGCCGCCACGTAGTCCTCTAGCTCCATGGAACAACGGGTAGGCATTTTTCCGGTGTACCTTACGGTGCTTGGCCAAGTGATCGCTACGCGCGAATCTTTTCGAGCACATCTCGCACGAGTACGGTTTAATGCCCGAGTGCGATCGTCGGTGCCTCGCCAGTTCGTCTGACCGACTGAAACGCCATACGCAACCGGCCCAGGTGCACGCGAACGGTTTCTCGCCGGTGTGTCGTCGTAAATGAGCCTTCAAATGGGACGCCTTGGCGTATACCTGCAACGAGGAGAAAAAGATATTATATTTTAACCAGGATTCGATCTTCAAGTTCTTAAGAACCAATCAAAAATTGTTCATATTCTTGATCTTCCGTGGAAAACTTGATTAATTTTATTTTCTTAAAGGGCTTAGAATATTCAGCGTAAAACAACCGATAAAATAGCTATTAATATGATACATAGATCTAGTATCAAAATTACTTTTAAACATCCTTGGTAGGTACACGGGAAGCATCGATCTTCGGACGCATTTGCTAAGCTACGGTTGGTGTAATCGTGGGTTGCTAGAGCGGCAGTAGCTGCTGACGAGATTAGAAGACCGTCGTCTAACTGGTTGTTGTTATAATCTGCAAATCCAGACCGCATTGTTAATCGTCTTTATGATCGTTGAAACGATGCATTTTAAATGGTACAGCATCGTATTCTCAAGCGATCGGAGAATGAATAGTTATTTCTTTGCGTCACAACTGAAAAGAAATTCCCGTCGCCTCAGTACTCCGATTAAATACTTGGATGCTATTCCGATCCTCTCGGATGTACCTATCGTACTTGTCCCTAATGTGTTCTCCAACGTTCGTAAATCGATGCCGAGTACCAGCAGCGGTTCTTCATATTGCGGCGTCTGTTGCGGATTCGGCAGAGGCGGCAAGTGCAGAAACCCCTCGCATCCTGCGGTGCACAGCGGCGTTCTTTCCGGTAGACCGGAGTCCCAGCTCTTCTCCAGACACCAATCCAGCTCCGAATCCAATTCGTTCAGTTCGCTCAAATAACCTGTGATTGTTCAGCGTACATTTTCAGAAAAATTCTGAATAAGAAGGGTGGCCCACTTCTGATCGCGTAAAGTCTAGAATGTTTTCCTAACAAGGGTCTGAGCGAATATTCTCTCGCGATAAACGGGAATAGTTTGTTGACTTTAGTTGCATTTATCGGTTTCTGCACAAGTGCCTGTTTACATTATATATTTGTGTATGAAGAAAAGCAGTACCTGAAGATGTGGGTGTATTGGCGGTCGACCAGTCGTTCCAAGACGATTGCGGGGAACAAGTTAAGTCGGTGTAACTATCTGTCGGATTTATCATGCTCAACTGACTGTCGAATAATCCGAAATCATCGCTAAGCGGGGTGATACGCGAGACTTCGTAATCGCTAGTTACGTCCGCCCTAGATAGGGAAAATAGCTGTTTCTCGATGCCGGTGTCCATCGTCAGGCCAAAAGCGGAAAACAGTAGCTCGTCCATCATCTGCGGAAGAAAATAGACGTTTCCAAGCTGCTTCAGGTCTGAACTCGATATCGGCGCTCTCGATAGAAATCCACCGATATCCCGTTCTTACGATCCAGACGATTATACGGAATACAATTTCTAGGCGACGCAAGAATAGACGTGTATGATATCGTCGAACGCTAAGTACATACAAGTAGATATTAAGTAATTAGGCAGCAATTAAATGCGGCATCGCGCTGCGCCGTGTACTCACATCGAATGTCGTGGTTTCCTCGATCATGATGTCGAGAGAATCAATAGTACGACTGGAGCCGATCTCAGAAAGTGCGCTTCTCATATACGAATCTCGGTGACCGCGCGCGACCAAAACTTTCAGAACAATGACTCCACTCGACGTTTACATGATTGCTCCCCAAGATTGACTCAGCCGTGGTTTTCCGATATCGACGTGAGAATCTATTTGTCGATCGTCATGATTCGCGTGGAGCTAACAAAGACAGACCTCGGCGGCTGCTCGCGGTATATTTAGCACGATAAATCAGGCTAAGAATCACTTTTACTAAAATCGCATGATATCTTATACAATTTGTGTCTTTGCGACGGAGAACCGGTGTCGATGTCGCGAAGCGTCACGAGAAATCTGACAGCGTCACATCCGCGATCCTTTCTTGCTGGAGAGACTTGGTGGTCCCTGCGGAGCCACGATAAAAACCGGCAGCGGAACGTCGATCGTGGCGAGTACACCTTCGAAATCCCGCGCGTGTCCGAACGTCGCGCGAGGACAGAGGGTTTACGCGAGATCGGAAGATCCGTAGATCCGCTCGTGACGACCGATCGGTAGTCGTGTCGGGACTGCAACTGGTGGTCGAATTCTCCAAGTGGGAAGACGTCGACGAGAGCGTGTGACGAAATAGTGCGGTGCGTGGTGCACGGCTCCCTTGAGGTAAAGAGAGATAAGCTGGTCTGTACCACTCGGCGCCGTCACCGATCCCCAGGGACCCGCGATCGCGGTTTGCCAGAACGCCAACACCAGCATTCTCAACGGAAATCCCTTGTTGCTTTATTCTTTTTTCCGTCAAGGATGAAATGAAATATTTGACTTTGAACTTGACTTTCCTTAATGGTTCACTAAAATTCTTTCTTGACCTAAAGACGATCATCAATCATTTTTGAAGATGGTCAGTCAAGATTGTGAAATGAAGTATTGAAGAGAGGTAAAGGACCATTGTCCCAGATACACATTGTTTTCCAAAGTTTTTGTTTGGAAAAGGACGAATACGAGAAGATAACGAGAGGACAGCCAGGAGGAGAATCTGACCGGAAGATTCTACCTCAAGTTTTTCGTGGCAACAATATGACAGTCACGTGTACCTAAATAATCAGTCATGGTCATGTTTTTTTCCCCGTATTTTCTGTAAACAAAAGTTAGTGTTTCGGATTCTCAAAAAGAGTGAGAACAAGTGTCCATAGACGAATGGCCCTATTTTTTTCGCATTCGATTTTTGTCACAAAGTAGCTACCAAACGAAAGGCCTCGTCAAGCTAATTACAGGTATGTCAGTCTCAGAGTGTACCTATTTAACGTTCCAGAGATATCGGGCTCCAAAGGTTTCCATTCCGAACAAATGATTGGTGTATGTCGACTTCATCGCTTACACCCTAGGAATTTTCGAATTTTATCTTTGGAACGTTAAATAGGTACACTCTGAGACGGGTATATCTGTAATCAGCTGACGAGACTTTTCGTTTGGTGCCTGCTTTGTGACGAAAATCGAATGCGAAAAACAAATGGGGCCGATCTTGTTCTCACTCTTTCGAGGACTCAATTCACAACAATTTCTCTCGTTAAAATATTAAAGTTTTCAAATCTTATAGCATCAACTTGTGCTAGGGTAGTAATTCTTTTTACAATAAACTAAACGCACGTTTTTACTATAATCGTTACTTGTCTTACGAAACGAAACTCGGCTGTTGAAGTTGGCTCGCGACTCGCGTCGGTACACATCGAACTTGATCCCATCCGTAGTGATCGGGCAGTTAGCCCGTTTATTTACGGTCCCTCGAGATGCAAATTAATCGAACAGCGCGCCGGATAATCGCGATGCTGGGATGCTGGCTATCAGCGCCGATTTCGCCGAACGAATCGCGTCGCGCCGCCGTGCAGATTGGAAAAAAAGAGAGATAGAGTATGTATGTATCTCTCAACCCTCTCTCCTCGTCTTCGGGGATGTCTCGAGGATACTGTTAGGCTGTCGTGCACGTGGCTGTCAGATATATTGACAATTTCAGTTCATGATGTAATCCGAGGAGAGCAGGCTGCTGGGCCCGTTTCGACCAGTTGTACATGCACACAAGTATTTTGAAATATCGCGACTCGGGGAACGTTAAGGAAATTTTTAACAACTTCGCTGGATGATATTATTGCTATAAAATGCCGCAAAAATGTTTAGGAATGTATCACACGTGGATCTTTAACCGTATAATTCTTCAAACATCTGAATTTGTATGCGATTACAATCGACAAACTGTACTTTTCGGGTCTGCACGGAAAAAATGTAGCTGAAAACTGTACGTGGTAACTAAATTTTAGTTGTAAAATCTGGACTAATATTTAGTTGTGATAGCTAATATTTTTCTACTGTGCCTATTGTATTAGGCGCGACAGTTTGCTGTGATTTGGAAGTTTATAGTTATGGCAGCAAAATAGTTTTAGTGAATCATAATTATCTACGGTAGCGTAAATTGAAATGAAGAACAAAATACTTGATCTTTTTGCGCAACGCAAAAGATTAACCCTTTCAGGACGAGGACTTTTTCGCAGTAAAAGAATACGAACTTTTTCCAACATTTTAGAATTTTTTCAGGGTATGTAAATTAAATAGTAATTAAAACGTATTCTCTCATGCAGATTTTTATATCTTTACATTGTTGCATACATTTATAAAATATATGTTATTGGTGGAAGCTCACATAGTACAACCGAGACATTAATTTTTCCGAACGCTGCCAAGATATTTTATATTCGAAAATATGCGAGATACGAATTTTCTCTCGCGGTACAAATCAATTAATAAGAAGTATAAGGTTTTCTACAGATTTTTGTAGCATCTCCCTTGCAACGATATAGGTTTGAAGTATTTTTATATTATATAATACTTGTATGCGAACATTTGCATCGCGTTTTTTACGTGTAAAACATACAGTATTCAGAAACCATTGATCACTAATGAGAAGTATCGTCACGGCGATACAGTGTCCAAATTTACACGGTTGTTTTCCGATTGCGAAAATTTGTCTGTAGTATCGGTCGCGAGCTGTTGACCCGGATGGAATCTTTCCAAATTACCGTTGAGAAGAAGAAGAAGAAGAGTCGAAACGCGAGTCGATCATTTCGCGCGCAGCGCGTTGCGTTTCGCTAATGGCTTTGACCTAGAACGCGACACGGGACCCGATAAAGGTGTCTCACCCGAGAGCCATCGCCATTAGGAGTTCAATCGCTCGTTTATCGGTACGAGGTTGACCTTAGATATGCAACGTTGCACATATTTGACGATTCGAGCTTGAAACCGCGGCTGATCGGAAAATAACACCACATAGGTGAGATTAATCCGACGCCCGGCTATAAGATTCTTCAGAAACTCGGTTCATCTCTCGGTGTTCTTTCGACTCGCCCGGAATCGATCTTGACGCGATCGTGAGGGAGTTAAAGAAAGCAAAGATATATGAATCGCGCGTTTCGCAAGTAATTTGTCCTCAACGTTTTCTATTAAATTAACTCTGGTATAACATTTGATAAAAATCGATACACTGAGAACAAAATTTTCGCTATAACCATAGCTGATCATGATTGGCTAAAAGTATCTTGCTGCCATAACTATACAAATTTCTAAGCCACGGCAAACGGTTTGCTGTCGCACCTAATACAATAGGCACGGTAGCAAAATTTTAGCTATCGCAACTAAATATTAACCGTCCATATTTTACGACTGAAATTTAGTTACCACGTGCAGTTTTCAGCTACGGCAGCTACATTTTTTTTTCTCGTGTAAAGGACTTGGTCCAAGTTCTAGCATCGTGGACACGGGCCTTAAGAGCGGGAATCTAAACAAAAACGGAAAATCATCCAGTCGCTGGCACCACTACATGCATTAATGCGGCCTATTACTGTAACGGTTGGCTTAAATTCGGGTCACTTGTGCCAGGTATATTATCTCTCGTGGTCTCTATATCCTTGAACGTAGTCGGCGTTCTCTAAGAGCCGATGGGATGTAAGACACCCCGCCTGAAATATTAAATACGTAGTAAACGGTCTTCGGGATTAAACATCCTCACATGTTGCGGCGTCTTCCCGCTGCATCCCGAAGCGATGATAAACGCTCCGACGCTATCTTCACGTCAATCTCGAGATTAAACGATCAGCGGTGTCAGTGGTAATTTTTCATAGCTGTGATTCCGAAGCGTCGTAGAGCAACTACGATTCTGTTTTACAAGCTAATTGCATTAACCGCTACGAGCACGTGGAAATAAAAACATTGGTTTTTTTTCCATACAATAACGTTATCGTGTATACGAAATACCAGCGGTACTGTATCTCTGTAAAGAGATGTAATATCGAGGTTGTAAATTCCGTCGCTTTTTTTATTTCCACGAGAATTCGGCGCCTGTTGGCGCGGATATTCGGTTTTAGATTAGGGGAGCGGCGCTAAAAGGTACAGTTATCACGGTTTTACGTGGTGCGTTATGAAAAACAGACCACGGCTCAGTGACGACACAGTGATCCATCGGTGGCGAGTTTATCTGGCGGATTCATTTTATTATCTGGCGACCGCGAGCGATCCGATATATCTTCGCGAGTGCTCGGATCCGTTGCACTCGCGTCCGTTTCGAGAATGAAGCCGGGGCGAGGGGGGAAAAGTGCGAGAAAATAAAATTATTCTCTCCTCCGAGAGAGGAGCACTCCACTTTAAAGTTACGTTATTATGTTATACGTAATTTCAAGGTGCCTTTATCGCGGCCCACAAACTACGTAAGAGCCTAAGAAAACGTCTGAGAAAGTGCTTAAAATGTTTCTTAGAAGCTTTTGTTGTTTTTTTTTTGAACCTGTTACTTCGTAAAAGCATACGCAGTAATCGAGTTTTGAAGGATATCTAATCTCAAGCAAGATACAAAATAGATACATTATTCGTCTGTGATATAATAACATAAAGATGTATACGGAATAATGACAACTAAATAACACAAATAATATAGAATAATGACATAAATAACGTAACAATATAGTACATAACGAAACACGGTTAATTAGAGATTGTAACAAAACCAAAAAGAAAACGGAGGTATCCCGGGATAGAGATGCCCATAGTTATATCGACATCTAATCCGCTGGCACGCACGGATATCGGATTGATTTCGTGTTTTATTGTGTTCGGAGGAACGATATCTCACACTGACGTTCGTATACGCTACGTAATATTCCGCGAACATCGCGCTTTCGCAACTCACGTGCGCAGCTTTAACCCTTTCAGTACCCGGGCGCCATATATCAGGTATCAATTTTCATCGGCTGCCGTATATCGCATCGCGGGTTCTTGTCAGGCAGCTCGATTTGATTCCCTCTGAAGGTTGAATCCAAACTAATTTTAAATATCTTTTTTATCCGGAGTCGGATACAAATGCCCTCCTTCCCCCGTTTCGAGGAGAGAATGCGCAAGTTGCGTCAAACGCACGCGTATATATGTAACCTTGTAAATAGCTTACCGAATTTTGCATCAGTGGTTGGCATCGATACTTAGCGACTAGTTGAGCTAACTAGCCACTGTGAAACTGGGCCTAAAAGTCAATCGGTGCGTTATCACTGAAAACAGTTGTAAGTGTAGCACCGGATTATTCGCTGAAAACAGTGAATATTCGCTGTTTTCAGTGATGATTCACCGATTGACTTTTAGAGAGTAAATATTTCCGTTGAGGTTTACGCGGATTTAAGCGGACTCTACTTTTGTACGCGAACGAACATTGTGCGAGAAAGGATTCGCGTTATTCGTCTTGCATTGCAGATCGTACGAACGTGCACTCTCAAAAGTGACATTATACGCTTCTTAACGTGTATACTGTAATTAACGTATCAGCCGATGATTGGCAATAATCCGTTTTGCATGAAATTTATGGGTTCGGCGATAACACGCGCGTTTATCTTGCGAGAGACGCATTTTAGATCCTGCGTCACTATGAGCAGCGCGAAACGCTGCGTTGCGCGCGTGTCATCTCATTTGGGAAATTAAAAAACTCGACCCCGCTTATATTAACACGCTTAATTAAGAGGACCGTCACATTTTACGACAAATTAGCCTCAGCTGCTTGACGCCAGTCAGAAATTTTATACGCGGGAATAAATTTAGAGTATTGTCGAATTTTTCAAGTGCTATACATAAATCGATTTTTCTAAAGTAACATTTCTTTATATATATATATATATATATATATATATATATATATATATATATATATATAACCGTTGGCCCATCAAACCGCAATTTGACAAGCTCCTAAGTTTTGCAAAGTCAATCATCGACGATGATGACAGGTCACGTGGAGCAGCGTTCTCCAATTTCCATGCGGAACACCGTCGTCACGCTAACTCGGTGACAAAGTGCAGAGAGTCTAGCAATAATCCCTCCGAATATTCGGGGAATAAATCAGTTCGATTGCCGGGCCGTCTAATCTTACGGTATATCCACGACGAGGAGCACCGGTCGTAATCTTAATGGGGCATAAAACAGCCATTACAGATGGCCCGCCGGGCGACAACACGCTGTAAATAATGTACGACGCTTCTCGCCGCGTGCATCGGTGCAACGTAGAGCGTATCCATCGCACCCTCGGGCCGATAACTGCGCTTTTCTTCTTGGACGTGTTGCATCCTTTCGGTTTCATTCGTGTGTGTATGCGTGCGCGCGTACGTGCGTGCGTGCGTACGCGCGAAGGGTGCTCTCTCGGTGTGGTGCGGCAGAGATCTGTTCTCAATTCTTCACGCCTCTAATCGGAGTGACTGCGACACCGAATCGATTTCAATGGTAAAAATGCTGATTGTAAAATTAGTGAACAACGCGGACGCTCCAGTCGTGCTGCTGATTTTTAGACAAACAATAATTTTGAATACCTGCACAGATTTGGAAAGTACAATGGCGTTCGCGATAGTCACGATTATTCTCATTATTTTCCGAAAGATTCTCACAACGCGTTTTGTAGAACTCGCACACAAGTTAAGCCCGTTTCCTTTCAACTGCGGACTCTCGTCAATTTGAAGTTAATGTTTCCCGATCGTGAATTTAATTCATAATAATGATTTTTTGCTCGTTTTCAATGTTGAGCAACAGTTTCGTCTCAAATCGAGATTTTGATAAAGTATTTTAAGGTACATTTGAAGTTGCGTTGTTTTTAAATCACTTGCGATTGAAAATATCCTCGATGCGCGTAAGGTGAAAGCGGCTTGAAAAGGATCAAAAATTCGCAATTGGTAAGAAATACGTTTTGGGAACCGGGACACCTTATTCTTGATAATAAATTACGCGCTTCACGAGACGTCGTACGTACCTTCATACTGCTGCCAAAAGCTGCTTGAACTCTTTCTCGGTCTTCTCCTTTTTTTGTTTATTAGTGATGAGCCGACGATTGTTTTTGTGTTACTCGCCTCAGCGACGAGTGTATCAATCGCCCGTGAGATTACGTTTCTCCCCGATAATAAATTAATGTCTCGAGAAGAGTCTTGTAATTGATGCTCACGTAGGGATGAAATCGACGTTGATTTATCGAACAAAGAATATCTCGCGCCGCGGCGCAAAGAGAAAAGAGGAAGAGAGAGAGAGAGGGAGAGGGGAAAATTTATCGACTTTTCGGCGAGGGATAGCGCACTACCGCGATGCGTTTTATTACCGTTTCGAACTAATTGATTTCAATTATATCCCGGGAATTATCGCGCTTCGCCGGACACGCCGCGACTATTGTCGCGCAAAAGAAGCAACTATGATAAGCGCTACGCAATAGCGATAATTAATTCGAACGCGCATTCGACTCGTTCCATATTAACGCGAACGCCGCGTGTACAACGCAAATAAAAGTAAAACGTTTCACAAAAATAGCTACTCGACGAGCTACTCCGGGATGCTGTCGCGAACGCGCAGGTGAAAATAGCTACTTAACAAGCTACCAGGTTGCACGCGAACAACGAGCGGTATGTTGTTCGGTGCATTCGTTCCCATTTGTTCACTGAGCGCGAAAATATGCCGATGTAACACCGCGGAACATCGTCGTGCGTCTCGCGATGATAATCACGTCACACCCGTCAAGAACCGATACTTCGACTGGGAAGAGCATTACGATATTTTCGCGAGCGAGGATCTCTATTTTTCGACTCTACTCTCGTATCGGCGGGTACGCGTAAACAATCGGACGGCATTTATTAACGCCGAGATCGTCGCGGGAAAAACGAACCGACTCGAATCTTCATTTTGATAGGACGTTCTGCGGCCGGCCACAGCCTTGTTACTAAGAGAATCGGGGGAATGCGTGAGGCCCGGCACGTCGGAGATGATTGCAAAGCCGCGATATCGTCGAGGAAGTCGCTTTTGATATCGACGTCCTGCTTATTCATGACGAATTGAAACTCCATTGTGTCGTGACCGAATGAAGATGAACCAGCCGATGACAATGTACGAAAAACTACGATAGCACGAGAACGCACGAGATAGTCGAATTATTTAAATTAATCGGGAGCACGCGAATGACATTTGCGCATAAGAATTGTGAATTGTGAGCTCGAATCTTTACTCTACTTACCGCATTATTGATATAATTGGTAACAAAAAGTTGTGCAAGAGACAAATTCGAAAGTGTAGAATAAAATTGTTATACAAAACTTTGGATGCATAGGAATTAACGGTAGGAGAAAAATATGGTCAGTTTAAATGTATCTGCAAGAAACACGTATGTCTTATTTCAGAAATGGTTCGATTATGAAGTTGACTCCGATGACGAATGGGAAGAGGAAGAACCTGGTGAGTCCCTCAAAGGGTCGGACGACGAGAAGGATGAGGAAAATCCGGAAGATAACGAATACGACGTCGACAATGAATTCATGGTTCCTCATGGGTAAGTGACATCGATTAAATTGTGTCGAAATTATGAACTTATATGAAATTATAAATGCGAGATATATTTTGAAATTGATACATTTTCTTTAATGCATCAAAAACCATTTTTTAATAGTCCAAATAGCAAAATACAATATCGATAAATATTATTGCTTATTATAATTAATCTTTGACAAATGATTGTCTTACTGAGATGGAAATTATAATTTTAGAGAGAGGGAGAGAGAGTCTGTGCTCATCTCGCTATTAGCAAATTAAATCTGAATTAAAGCAATTAAATTCGTCGCTTTTGGTCCGCTCTGTATCTTGAATGGACAAACTTATAATTACATAAATAAATTCTTCGTGTCTTCTGATCTTTGCGTATCTGTGCGGATCTTTTCGCATTAGAAATTAAATGAGAAAATTGTAATTTAGATATTTGTCCGATGAAGAAGCGCAGGCTGATGAAGAAGAGATGGAGGATATGGTAAGTATATTATAACGATGATGTTGAGAAGACTATTTATACGTATCTTTATTTAGAAATACAAACCAGTGAAAAGCATATGTTTCTGTTACAGTCGCCACAAACACAGAAAATGAAACTGAAGATATTGGGAGAGCGATTCGAAGCTGAAAGAAACGCGAAGACATACAAACTTAAACCAAAAATAGTCGGATGTATCTGGCAAGGACCCGACAATTCGTTTCCGGCATTTAGTGAGTATATTTTATTTACATATATGTTTACTGTTACGTTATATGTCTGTTATTTATACATTATATAATACATTATTTTATATATAAATATATATTTTATATATAAAATGTTTAAATATTATTCTATTATTATGTATCTATACTTATAATTATTTATAATTACATGTTTAAATTTGTTTCAGTCTCTCCAAAGATCAAGGAATTTTTGTTGGCACGGCAAGCTTGGGTTAACAGCATACCGATAGTATTTCCGTCGGAATCACCGGAAGAAGATACTTCGGCTAATGCTGAATGCAAGACTTCTATCCATCAACAATCTGTGAGAGGAGCAAAGAAGACCAAGTTCCCCGACGAAGCTTTGCCCGATCTGATTCTATTGGTGCATGGGAACAGACACGGTAGACATGGTCTTATGAAAGAGTTTATGACATTTTGGAGCAAAAAAGGCGGGGGCCATTTGTCAAAAGTTAGTATATTATCGAAAATCAATGAAATTGCTGATAGGATAGCATGTCCAGAAGAGGGACCAATGCATCTCAAATCTTGTTGGTATGTCTCGGAGGATATCCGGAAACAGCATCTTCCTGGCGTAGAGTTACCTTTGCCGAATCGCTGGAAATATATCTTGACACTAGATAGGAAAAAGGATACTGAAAATATTGTCGCCGATAAGATTGAGAAAGGCGAGGGAAAAGAAAAGGAAAAAGAGAAAAAATACGTATCACTTATTACTCAATTCACTAAAAAAATAACCCAGGAGGAGCTGAAGAAACAACTGGCGAAATCTGACCAGGAAGAGGCAAAGAAACAATCGACAGCGACACCTGATCAGAACGAAATGAAGAAACAGTCGACATCGAAATCCGACCAAGAAGAAATTCAGAAACAATCGGCAGCGAAACCCGACCAAGAGGAGACCAAGAAAGAGTCGTCATCAAAATCCGACCAGATTTCCGCCCTACCGAAACTACCACCGCTACAAAGACCTCCTAAACGGGTGACTTTAATCTCCGTAGGGAGAGGAGAACAATTTCCGGAAAGCTCTCGACAGAATATGTTAGCCAAATTCATCGGTCTTAACAAGCAGAAAGAGGAACGTAGCGAAAAAATGGTCGATTCAGACGAGATTAAACTCGTAAAAGGTAATGATACGAATGAGACAGATAAAAAATCAAAATCAAAATCGTAAAATTTTTGCGATAAATTGCGAGAAAGAGATTTGGAGAGTAGATATAATTGTTGGCCGTTATGTCGAAAGAACTAAACGATCGGTTCGGAAAATAAAATGCAAATGGCAAAGAATTATAGTTATATAGGTAAAGAAATAATTACAAGCATATAATAAATAAGAATAGCACAGGACATAAAAAGGGAAGAAAACATCGTTTTTTTTGTTCACGTCAATGTGCCGCGTTTGTCATACTTATTTAGAAAGGCATCGGTTTAATTAATTATTAATGATAAATGATGATACAATTTGTGTATTGATTAATATTTCTTTACTTGTACAAAGCTTCAACGAATAGGTTTTGTTACCTGTCGTAATTTGAATCATACAACTATTTTGTAAAATGAAGTTTGTAGTATAAAAACTTAAATCGTAATATTTTGCAATTACGATTTTATATCATATATTCTAGAAAAGTTTAAATATTATATGTAAGATTTTATCCATATGAGACTATTCAATTAATTAAACAAAATGCTTTCCACTAATAACATTCAGTTTTTAGGAATATGTATAATAATTTGTAAGTTCGAAAATTGTCAAAACGTATCGATGAACTAGCATTAACAAAGTGAGGATCAATTTCGCTACTTGCTTTTATTAGGTTCCATGCTTTATATTTTAACGAGATCGTTTCACTCGTAAAAATAATAGTCTTAATCGAATCGCGCGATAACTGCCAGATAATTATATGGGCCGCCAGTTATTTACTTTATGTAAGATCTAAGTGCCTTTATAAAATAATTAGCTATGTTACGATTACTTACAAAAGTTAGTAATTCTAGAAAAATACAAGAATTGCAGCTGAAAAGCATCGCTCTGTTTCCTTTCAATAACGTATAGCTATTTTAGGCTAAATTCTTTAAGGTTTAAACTTTCAAAATTATTTGTACAAATTCGAAATTTACGCGATTATTCGTTTAGATTATCTAATTAAACTAGTACTGAAATATGCATAACATTCTATTTTGCTCAATCGAGAATGATGCAACACGATAAAAACCGCACAAGTTTCCTCTCGTAAACTTGTATATCGTACTGTATGTCTGTAGATCGGAAAAGATATCGAGGCGACACGCGTTTCATGCGTGCCGATCTTCCTTTTTTTACAAGAGCTTTGTTGCGCGAGTTAATGTTTGCTAAATAAAATATATTTTATATTAACCCGAGAAACTTCCCCCGTTTTTACCAACGCATAATGAAACGGGTTCACTCGCGGTCCTTGTACCCAGGAACTCGTTTTAGAGAGACGAAAGGGTACTGTCGTAAATACCAGACGCATTTCGGGGGTAATCTGCAGCCATGCCGGTGTTTGCCGGAGCGTATCTTCTTTTTCCTCGTGAGAGACTCGTCCGAAGGCTCCAATTGACAAGTGCGGAATTGGACAGGCGCCGCCGCGGAGAGATTCGTTTTTGGGGGCACCTCGAGGGAAGATTCCCTCGAGGAGGGGGAAAAAAAGGAGCAACGCCATTCGGGGAGGAAGTTTTACAGTCGGTAGTTCGGGGGGGCCTCTTCGTACCTCCGGGGTGTACCGGTCGACCGCGGCATATGGCCGGAATAACGAAAGGGCGCTCCCCGTGATTGCGGTAATTATCGAGTCACGTTACGAGATCCGTGCCGTTAAGATCCGCAGGAAACTGGCGAGAGGCTGCGGACGGGCACGAGGGGACTGTGCGTAACGCTCGGGAGAGAGGAAGAGAGAAAATTTTATATGTGAATTACGCTAATTTGCGTGATTGCTCCGCGGTATACGCTCCGGTACACGTTGGGTCGCCTCGAGGCTCGTAAGGGCAGTTGCGATTTTTGCCTGAGAAACGTTATCGGGGGATGACGACGTGTTATAAATACCCAAGAGATAGTTGCATCCTCTACTAGATCGCCAGTCAACGAGGACATTTAGCGATTCAAAGATGAAGCGCGGAACCAGCGGCATGTAATCATTATGTAGCTGCTCGAGCAATTGCACTTTTGCGGAAAAAGATCTCTGATTATTTTAATTGTGAAGGGACAGATTTATTTGGTTCCTTGAATTTTCGCGAGTTTCGGACGCGGTTAAATACTCGGATGTCTTAGGACCAGTTTCACAAACGTCGGTTAACTGCTAACCGTAGGTTAATTGATTCTCTGTCTCTTCTTAAATAATAAGACGGAAAAAGATGGGGAGTCGACTGAACTCTGGTTAACAGTTAACCGACGTTTGTGAAACTGACCCTTAAAGGAAGATGGAGAATAGCGCGTACAGAGAGATGCAAATGGCAAGCGGATCAGTACGGTGAACGGGAGGCAACGCGTTATAAAGAAGACGCAACGTTTTGCCTCTCAGAACTGAGATGTATGACGGTATATATTAACGGTGCGTTCAAGAGAACGATCACGGGAGAGCATTGTTTAGCACGGCACAGCGATCGTATATTTATCTACTGTATGTACAGCAAAATTACCGCGTACGCGATCCCCGGCGAGAGTGCACGGCGTAATCATCGGGTTAATTAAAATTACAACTATTTCTATTCCCGCGAGATATCAACGTAGCCATGGCAGCATTACCTGGCAAAAGTACGCGCGTTGTTCACTCGCGCGTGAGTAACGTCCGTTAATTATTTGACCAAAAAAATATACGGCGGACGCGGGAAAATGCACCTCACGGGGACGGCGGTCGATTAGGGGGGATGGCACACGTTTAGACTCCCTGGATCTTCCTTTACGAATATCTTTTACCTTTTATAGCGGAAAGCGACGTTCTCCCCTTTTTTTTTCTTTCTTTCCCGTTTTCGATATGTCGTTTCTCCCATGGGAACTTGAGAACCCAAGTAGAACAAGTTAATCGCAAAAACGTCAGTGTGACATTAAAATGACGAATTTTACGTCATAAAATGATCGACATCAAGATTTACTGTGCAATGACTGATTTATGACATGCTGTTTTATGATATTCGTGACGTGTATAATAATACATTATTACCGATTACATGATCAGTATATTATGTTTATCTTATATTACTTCAATTTATTTTTAATGTATAATATTTAATTAACTTTGCTTTGTAAAACACGATCATTTTTACAACGTTTGATGTCTTAATGATGTCGCAAATAGGTGCTCTCGGTGGGCTATTTTGACGTCGCCATGATGCATAAAAAAAATGATCAAAAAATGATGTCATCTTGATGTTTTCATGACTACTATGTTCTACTTGGAAAGTTACCGCAGCCCCGATGGTATTTTGGTATCGTTAAGAGTCTAAATTTTTCGGATGTTAAGCTACACGACCACACAAGAGATTGGCGAAAGGGAGAAACACTTTTTCTCCCCCTTTCTTTCGGAAATGAGTATGTAAATAATTTTTATTAATGCTGATATTCCCGGAATACCTGTAGAATATTTAAAGAGAGTAGAGATTATAGGATACACGTCGTGTTAGTGTTACAGCGGCGAACAACAGAGCAAGACGCGAAAATTACGGAGGCGCGAAGCAGAGGTGAATATAGATATTATTACATGCTTGTACACACATCGAGAGGAGTTTAATTGGGTGGAAGTCTAAGTGATCTCGAAGTAGCGCGAGCCCTATCCTCGAGCCGTCCAAAGTTGTGGAGTATTTCGGTTATAAATGTGAATAAATAACTGTAACCCACAGCAGAAGCGCAAATAATAACGTATATAATATCCACGGGAAACGAGATCGAGAGAAAAGAAACTTTTTGATCAATCCGATACGACTTGTTTCGCGAGTGATGTGTCTCGCTATTTCTGAAAAAATAAACCCCCGTTTCGATCCGCGTTTAATCCTCACGAATTTAGCGGAAAGGCGAAAAAGGTTTTTCTCTTTCTCGTCCCGATCCCAGTATGCCATCCTCGCGAACGGCGCGAGAGCGCCGCGAGGGAGAGGGACGAGGCGGGAAAGGAAATGAAACGGAGAGAGGGCATGGAAGCGAAGCGGGAATAAAGTGGAGTAGACCGGAATAGAGTACAAGGTGTATGCCTAGAAGGTATAGAGAGAAAATGGTAGCCAATGGCGCTGCCTCAGCGTCGTTGCTACAGTATTGAACGTCTCCTACGCGGGGTCCAGATCTCATCCTCCCTCTTCCTCTTTCTCTCGCTCGCTCTCTCTCTCTCTCTCTTTCTCTTTCAGTATGTCTCTCCATCCCTCGCGCTTCATCTCTCTCCCGCTCGCGCCTTTTTCACTCCCTGCCTCTCACCGAGCCACCCGACCTCCGTTTCCTCCTGGTCGTCCTCGTCCTCGTCCTCCACCACCTCCTCCCCCACCTCTTTACCTTCCCTCTGTCTCTCGTTCCGCGTCCCTCTCTCTTCCTACCTCTTACCTCCCTCGCTTATCCCTTTCTCTCTCTATCTCTCTTCCTCCTTCATCTTTCTCTCGTTTTCTCGTAACCCGACGACGTCCTCCCTCCACGATCTCGTCGTAGGGTGGAGACCCTCCCTGGTACTCCCTACCTCGTACTCCTCCTCTGTGCCGATGCTTCTCTTCGGCTCTCATCTCACGAGGTGGAGGTGGGAGGAGGAGGACGGGGAGCAGGAGGAGGTGGAGGCCTCTCGGTAACCTCTCTCCATCAGAGACGATCCGTGAGTCCGCTGCCGAGATCCGGAGTGGTGTGAGGTGGCCGTTTCTATATCCTCTCATTAATATCCAACCTTAGGAGGTCCGAGGCAGCCGGTACGGCTGTGGCGCAGCCTCTCTGTCGGTCCAGACTTTCAGTGACAGTCGCCTCGGAAAGGTGCACGGCTGCTGCTGTCGCGACAAGTATCCATTAAGTCTACCGAGGCAATAATCGAAGCTTCCCTCTTCAAAGAACGCGTTCCGTATTGTTCCTAACAATTTGTCTCCCAGGAGGGGGCGAAAACTACTTATCATTGTCGCAATTGAGATTATTGCGCGTTTATTTACATAAAGTAGCATGGAACCGTGTATTATTATACGCACAAATTTAGATATATTATAACACAATACTCGTAATAAGCGCGCAATAATATCTCGCAACGTGAGGTCTATGATAATACAGTAATTGTAACATAAATATACTTCTTGAGGAGATATTACAATTTTAACAATAGCCTGTGAGATTCTACCGGGATCTGGCGATAGATCCAGCGATCATTCCATTGCCTCTTAATCTGCTTAAAGCGCTAATTAACGAAAACGGTAATTTGCAGTTCCCAGTTATTATTTGATAATACAAAGTTCGCAGAGCTTTGCGAGATGAGATCTCGCGCGTGTATGGAACGTCTCCCAATTATTGCCGTGGCGAGATTTAATGGCGATCGACGGCGATCGGGGGCTGCGGATCGACGCAGGTCGGAGAATGATTGCGGAAGAGCGAGATGTATGGAGGCAGAAAAATGAAGGGGGACAAGGCGGTCGGAGGGGCAAGGCGGTATACTTAATTGAATATTCAGGGATATACGATTGATGCGCGGTGTCAGCAGTCGTGGCGTAGAGCCGCGGCATGCGGTGGCGTAATCGACGCATTACCTCGGGCCTTTACGAGCAATTATGCTAAAGCCAAAATGCATTCGAGGCGCATCCGGTGCTCTCTTGACCGGCACGTATAGTTGAATGTATACCCATTACCACTAATGTTGCGTTAGTTACAGCGAACTCCTTGTCAACAATGAAGAGAGAGAGAGAGGGTTCGATACTTTGTACTCGCGGCAAAAGTGGACTAAATTGCGGGGCGTTGATTAAGCGATCACGCATCTTCCACGGGGCATCGCGGGGAAGAACGTCACTCCGGGTCAAATCGGAGGCAACGGCGGCGGAGGCGGGAGGGCTTCCCTCTTGCGCGGAATAAAACTCGGGGGAGAGAGCGACGCGTAGGAGCGGACGGGGACCTCGACGCGCGCGGTCTGCAGCTGCTGGATCTTATGCTAATCCCACCCCCGGAGGCTAACCCCGGCGTGCGCATCCCATGAAAAAGTTGCTCGTTACACGCTCGCCCATAAATCTCCCTCCTAAGCTTAATCTGTCCGCCGCCACCGCCGCCGCTCTCCCCGCCGGCCCGCGTCGCGGGAAAACTCCTGCGAACCCAGGCGGCAGGTGTATACGTCTCGGCGCGCCCGCGGATTTTCATAATTTTTTATCCTTCGGCGAAAATTTAAATCCCAACTGGCCGGCCGCCCGACCGGACGTCCGTCTCGAGAACGTAGCTTCTCAGCTGCT